CGCGGACTATGGAGACTGCAACGCCTGGTGTCGAGGTTTTTATTGCCAAGATTTGCGAGCGTGCATGTTAAAAAACACGTTACCTGAATTGTATCACTAATCGATTCTGACTGAATGGTGAACATTTTCAGGCAAACATGGCTTGGCCATGTTAATACACACTGTTGACTACTCGATCTGCGACCAACTTTTCACCTTCAAATTTGGATTAAACATATCGATCTACGATCTCCCTTCGCGATGTCCTCAATGTCTTTAGAAGCCAGATAAAATGTTTGACAAAGCTTCTGAATCCTATCGGCTTAGAAAGAGTCAAATAGCCGTTGTAAATTAAGAGCGCCGGTGATTTATTCCATGCAGTCATGCAACGCCTGATTTCTGCAGTTTATTGACCTCAAAATACAAAAGAATTGAGCTCACGGTAGCTCCTGGCTACTTTTCTGGTTACAAGGTAAAAATAGCAATAAAGCGAAGAGCACTGTGTCACTTGTAAACGAGTAAGCTATGTCCGGGGATTTTGGAGGATCACCATAAGATGGGTTTTTGTCAACCTTGTGTTCCATCTCGGCAAGGCTCTGGCTAAGCCCTTGCCTACACACAAAAGCAGATCAAGTCGCATACGTTGCATGGTAGGCGATGAAGTGTCCGTTGGACCAATTCATGACAGGCAAACAGCTTCCCGGAGGCTATTTTTCTGCGATGGTGTGGTGTGAGGAAAGATAGTTCGGAAAAAGATACTGTTGCGGGTGTCCAACACGTGTTTCATACACCATCTAGTAGTAACGCTGGTCCAAAAGTATTCAACAAAGCAGGCATACGATCAGTTCGCAGTCAGTCATGCGGGAGACATCCGGGGCAGGGCAGTGGCCACCGACGGCGGACAGGAGCAGGGTCTAGGTAAGGAACATATGGCAGATGGGCGTTGTTATATGGCTTGATTTTTGAAAGAGAATCTCCAGTTCTATAATTTTTGTCACATTGCTTCTACCAGTTTCAAGCTCCCGAGTTTTTTTCCGCTTAAAATGCTGCGACAAACTTATCTCTTGAAAAGCAGCCAGCGAAATAAAGGCGCACGAAAAATCTGTCGTACTGTGAGCCATCGATCCACTTTCAAAATTCTGACCAGCCTATATCCAGACCGCATTTTGGCATCTACACTGTGGAGGCAGATGCTTCCTTGATGACCCAAAATGCCTACCCGCTGGTGGACTTTCGCCTCCGCAGGAAAGACAGTGTTAAAATGGACGAATAATCCAGGGAAGCTGGATAGCCTAATTTGCCAAATGACAGATGAGTCGAATAGGCAAGATTGTGCACCAGTGATAAACAGCTCTAGATGCATATTTAGCATAGCAGCCATTACCTTTGAATAAAGAGCGATAACAACCCCTATCCCTGCACCTCCCCCCCCGTCGGTCATCGGGCTCGCTTTCAAGAAAAATTTCCTGAAGTACACCCTGAGCTTGCCCCCCCACACTTTCTGAAACATTCCTACGCCTATGCATTCAAATGCAATTATTTGCCCCATTTCTATCAACAATCATCGTTCAATCTGTGGACTTTCAGCAGCACTGTGGGAAAAAATCCGGCAAAGCCCCCGATTGATACCGTTTAGAAAGAGCCCATCGAACACTTGTAAATTGAATAGCGCAATGGCTATTTGACGCAGTCATCTAATGCCTAGCTACTTCAGGTTATCTAACTGCAAACATAATTACATCTCTGCATCACTTCTGGCTTGAATTCAGTAAAAGGTGAAAAACAAGCAAAATTAAGAAAAAATCTATCGAAACCCTTGAAACCAAGCGGGTCCCATCCGCTTGGTTTCAGTTTGGTGTAAGGGAGTGGGTTTGCCAACAGCTTTCCACCACTGGTTGCCAAGACTGGCAAGACCAGTGTCAAACTCTATTGAAATTATAAGTCTTGCATCGACGAAACCACCATATCATGTTAAGCATACAATGAGCTCCATTCCATATCTGGATGCTATCATCTTAAGATCACGGTGTGAGCTCCAGATAATATAAAATCCTCCAGCACTCGGAACTTATCATCGAGAATTCCGGGATATCCGATCAGGGTGTATGAAAAAAACCTTAATATGCCAGATCCCCGTGATCTAGGCCGTACAAATATCTCCGTTCCATTATTTTTGGTGCTATATCAATTTCCCTGTTTTTCCTCTCTGCTCTGTTTGTTCTCTGTTCGTCTGTTGGGGGATGGAGGGGGGTGGGGGGGGGGGGGCAGGTGATGGTTGGGCCCCCAACTTTACGAGCATTCAAGGTTGTCTCTATAGGCGTTGACCAGACATATCACCCAACAGTGGCTACCGACCGCTCAACTTAGGAGAATGTACGTTTCCCTGCCTGCAGGCTAGGTCAAGTTGTTAACGGAATCCTGCCTAAGATAAAACTGGGCAACATTGAAACCGGTTTATTTTTGTGTTGAAGATACTACGAATCCCATTTTACCGTTTGAAGGCCTTATCTCAAGAACACGATATCACTCCCAAGTTATGATATTTTTCCCGACCCTGAAACCCATCAAAAATTAAAATCGCAAATAATAATACCGGATGTGCTGCGTTGCGCATGCAACGAACTCCTCATTATCATCGCGTAATGCTAGCTCAAAGTGACGGCTTAACCACGGGGTCAGGTCAAAGCTGGCATTATCCCAAAACCCATTGAAAGTAAAAGCTGCAGGTCATCGCGCCCTCACGATTGTGTTGAGCACACACATATTACAGCATATTAATATTTTTGTCCCTAAAGTCACGGTCTGCCCCCAATGCTAGATCAAGGCCTCCAGCACTCCAGTAGCAATCAGAAAAATCGCAATAACTCCCAGCCGGCTAATTAGGCACACAGCGCCCAATCAGCGCGTAGCTGTATACCCATTTATATATATATATATATATATATATATATATATATATATATAAATGTGCATCTAATTAGGCGCGCTGTGTATCTAATTAGGCGACTGTCCAATGGTACAACAGAGCGCTGCTGGGTAACCTTGATTATGATTGCAGTGGCGGTGTCCCTGGAGACGCCCGCTGCCATGGCGACATGCGAAGAGGCTGGCTGGAGCCGGCCCAGACCAACCTGCTCCACTGCAGGAGATATCATAAAGCCCGGTTGAGGGAGACGTAGAGCCGAGTTGAGCAGAGACATCATAAGACCGGGTTGGGGTCCGCTTGAGGATGACTTCAGATGTCATCTGAACTGGAATGTAGACGTTCGCGCCTACATAAGAACGGTGCACATGGTCAAAGGTGATAAACCAAGGAAAGGGCGGGTAGGGATGCCTCTACACAATTTCACGGCCAGTTCGCGGCACCTGAGCCGGATCATAAGATGGTGAGTCTGGTGCCGCGCCTGAGTTCTAAGGCATGCTAAATGCGAGTTCATCAACTCTTTGCGGGATTGCACGGACACGAATGTTGCCAGAGATAGAGGTCGTTAAGGCTAAAAATAATGACAAAAAAAAAACAACGGGAACGGAACATCCAAACTGAGAACGCAGTGACTGAAAGGCGAAAGGGCTCACGGTGATCCAGGATCGGAGAATGATTATAGACTTCGAGATCGCAGGGGCTCCCAGATCACCGCAGATCCCAACAAGGCCACGAACAAATTTTCCCACGAGGTGACCAATGCTCCCGAATGAGTCAAGGGATTCCAGCCTTCTCAAAATCATCCTGAGCGAATCGATCGCGCAGAGGTGGTTTCGATGCTTCTGCGGCTGCTCGATCTCCCAAATTATATCTAAGGTCCTAGAACTTTTTAACTGATGATCAATATTGCCTGGGGTCTGATGCATCTAGACATCCATCGCCGCCTGGAGGCCCTCGAGACGAGTCTGGCCCACGTCGACGGTCGAGGGCGGCCATATGCAAATAAGTCCCACGCCAAATGTCAAACGTATTCTATTTAAGCATTCAAGTGTCTTATTATGAAAAGATCAAGCCTTTCCTAACGCGAATGATTGTGGTTCGTTTCTTTGTCAGTGTGTGTGCAGTATTCTGGGTCTGGGTGTTACTGAACAGACGTGGCTGTTTGAGGTGTCACCAACATTTTCCTTTGCCGTGCGTTGAGCGGTGCGTGCGAAGTGTTGTCATTTCAACTCTCTGAACGGCGCGTTACCGCTTGATGCACACAGCGTACACGTGCACATAGACCGCAAGGAGCACCCGGGACCACTTAGGAACTTCTAATGGCAGAATTCAGATACCAGATTCTAGTCCTAGATCCCAGATCCGAGGACTCGGGCCTGCACCATAGTCAGCAATGTATGTCGAGTTAGTAGCGGATACGGAGCGGGCGGAGCGTCGAGCGGGAGCCAGCTGAATTCGGAGCCAGCGTGCACTTTGAATTTTAATTTTTTTTCAGTTCCAAACCGTGCCGTTTGATTGCTGCCCTTGGCTTTTGCTCTATTGACAATACTGAAACCCAATGTCTATTCATGGTCAGATGCAGGTCCCTTGAATTAAGTGTTAGAATTTTTAAATGTATACAAATTATTTTAGTGTTTGGGTGAAACGAAATATTTCCAGACCTGTTCTGGTCCCCTGTTGCTCTTAGGCTGTCTGTGTGGCTCAAGGGTTATCATACGCGTCAGCTGAGAACGCCTGGTATTTCAAGGCTGAGTGTTCTGCCGCATTTAACCAACCCATTGTCATGATCCGACTCTGTTTTCTGAAAGGTCCGAAACTAAAATTAGATTAGTTGGTTGGTTGTCTATCGACGTGGCGAATTTTCTCACAGAAATAAAACCATAAAAAGGAGAGCTCGTGACCTCGGCGCAAGGACCAGGATAGTAAAATTCCTCACACCTGGTCTTTCACGTGATTAGATCACCAGTGACGTTCGCTCTGTCACGTGGGCATCTGCCGTTCCGATTTGTCTTGACAGTCCCTTGGCTAAAAACAGCGACGAATTCACAAGATCAAACTCGCAGCCAGCAGTCATCCTCAAACACACAAACGACGGGCTGAAATTTATGAGGCCATATTGCCGCTGCAACGCGCAGCGCAACTTCGCGACACCATGCAAACGGTACAAGAACCAGAGCAAGAACACTGGGAGAGCGGCGGCAGCAGCCAGGGCGCCCGGCTCGCTGGGGGCCGCGGCTCGCACGCACACTCGCCACTGCAGAGGAGCCCCAGCCCCATGGGCGAGCGATCGGGCTACCGGTGGTCACGTGATCGAGCGCTCCCGTCGTGCCGCCCTGGACCGGCGCGGCCTCCTCACAGCCGCGCCGGGGCCGGCGCCGGGTCAGCTCGCACCGAGTGTGAAGCAGTTTCACTGTATAAAAGCTGTTCTGTACAAGAGCTGCGAAGTCAGGCGATGCGGTCGCGCCCGCGCTGCTCATCAGGTTGAGGGCTCCGACGGCGGCCATCACAAGGGTAAACGTTGCGGCGCGACGTCGGAGCACAGAGCATCAGGCAAACTGTTGCTGAACCTGTCCATTATTGGGTCCGGATTGCGTGCTCCACTGAGCTTTCCAGGGATTAAAGATGACAGTTGAAATAATGAAGTAAAGAACATCACGGTATGCACAGATGCTTAACAGCGGGCGCTCAAAACAGCACGGCATCGTTAGGTTAAAGCCGCATCCCCTTACCATAATTACTACATAACTTCTACAGGGTAATACATGAGCTGCATTGCAGCCCACAATTAAACAACGGGACGCAAGTGAACCAACAACTGCGGGGGCAAAGCGAGGGAAACAGAAACCATGCGTAGGGAACAGAGAACAACAAATCACAACTGGTCAAAGACCAACGCGGTACCTCTGGCAACCTTGGTTTGCACCTGAGTGTTCAACTCATCTTCAACCCCAACGTCCACGCAGCACCCGTGTGTAACCTCTCTACGCCGGCCTGTCGGCACCGCGCCGAACTCCCGGGCGGGAGCCCCGGCGGAGCCAGGAGCACCCCTTCGACCGTTGTCACGTGCTGCAGCGGCAGCGTCACCTATAGAAGTCCGACCAGTGGCGTCGGCCCGCCTTCATCCGGTAACGCCCACCGACTTCAGCTCGGTGAACACGTCGGTGAAGAAGCGCGGGTCGGCGTTGATCTTCAGCATCTGCTCGCTGAGTCGGCTGATCATGTCGACGCAGCGGTCCCAAAATCGCTCCCGGCTGCTGCCCACCAGGAACGGCTTCAGAGGGTACGAAATCTGCCGGCGGCGGACAGGCGACGGGGTCAGGCGGGTGGAAACTCCAGAGGGGAAAGTCGACCGGGCTGGACGCAATAAACACAGTGGCGCAAAACTCACGATGCGCTGTCGGGAGCTGAGAGGGATATCATAGTTATGAGTTTTCGAATGTTGTTCGCACATCATGCGCAATAACACATACCATGCATTGAACAGGTCAGGGAATCAGTCGTCCAAAGCATATGGGAGGCGTTTGGACGAAGTTTTTTCTTCTCGGAAATAAAATGATATGTCCAGTGGCGCAGCCAAGGGGTGGCGGGGCGGGTGAGGCTAATGGGGCTCAAGCCCTTCCCCGTCAGGTTCGAGCACAGTTTTCATCACGACACTTCTCAATATAGTTTTGGAATCTGGCGGTAAAAGAAAGGTTTTCAGTCTCAGAGCCACTACCACGGACAGAGACATGTGCATTCTAATTGCCCCAATTTAGTAACGAGACCGTCGGATAGCCGAGTAGGTAAGCAGCTGAAACAGTTGTTTAAGACACCAGGGCAAACCAACATCGATAGCTCATGATACCCTAGGCACCGCACCTATTAGAGTTTGTGGGGTCTGTATGTCTCTTTGTAGTGCATAAGTACTTTCTATAAGGCTGGAACTTGCTTGTAAAAAACCCATCGCGCATTACGGCAGCCTCCCGTCGCGAATTCTGGCTGCGCCCTTGGATATGATGTAGCGGTATCATAGCTATCTTTCGAGGTGGATGTAGTCCTCCCACCTCTGAAACGCTGCTAAACAAGCTCTAAAACCCTGACAGTTTTGTTGTGAACGTAAGCAGATCGTTTGAATGAAGGAATTTAGCAATGCCCATTACACTATATACTCAGGCTGGAGGGGTTCACGAGTGTGTGGGTCTGATGGTGCAAGTCATGTGGATTTCTCAACATGCGAGAGCAGGACACTCGTGGTTGCGCACGACACAAGCAAGTTTCCTACGATTTGAGAGCCCCAAACGACTTGGGCGTCAGGACGCGCGCTCCCTGACTTAATAGCAATTGAATCCCTCCAGCATAGCCTGGATTTCTTTAGGTTCAGAGCTATTGCTGTGGCGAGGGCCCACCCCATCGACTGCCCAACGAAACAATGCCGGCTCAAAGAGCGGCCTTTGCAGCGGTTTTTAAATCGGATAGTTCCGCATATCGTTAAGGCGTGATGCAAATGCACAGCAAGACTGTCCTGTGCGAGCCTGACGGCTGTGGCCACACGTCAGTCGATCGGCTTCGACGGCCAAAATTTCAAGTACTAGGAAGGCCTCGGAGCCGCAAACCCACGTGCCTCCACGGCTGGTGATCAGACACATGGCAATCGACCATGTAAGCTGCAGGTTCGTCGGTCGGTGAATGTATAGTTGTATAGTTGCTCGGGGAAAAGAGATGGATGCTTGCATTTTGAACGTGACCACACTCGTTTGTACATGTTATAGCTGATGGCTGACATTACAGCTGGCATGTCACTACCAATGGAATAAATCATTCCAATATTCAGATTAGGTCTCTCTAGTGTAAGAGTAAGTCCAGGAACCCTGATGTTGCCACATCCCAGACAAATTAGATCGGGGCGTAGGGAATGCCATGAGAAGTTGAGGTGACGATCAAAACCTGATGTCAAGCCGGCTCTTTCCATACGTCTAAGCAAAGCTGGTGTCAAAATGTCACAGGACGTGTTGGTGGAGCTGGACATCGGCATTCCCCTTCCTTTACCTACACGCAAGCTTGATTAACAAGTCGCGTCCAATGTGCGAAAGGAACCCCCTGCCACTGAGAAAACCTTCCATTCAAGGCTTCCAATGACTGAGAGGACTTCCCAGTACACCTTAGACCAGCTTCACCATCTGGCCGAAACGTCCCACCCAGTGACCCCTGCGGATCCAGCCACCTTTTCCGTCTGGATTAGCCAAGGCTGGGGCCCTCTACCTGCATTCAAACCACCTGCTCTGCTCGGCGGCACAAGGCGGCACGCTTCAGGCCGCTCAGATCTCCACAAACCGGGGGAATCCTCGGTGATAACCAAGCGCTGGTGGGTATCGACCATCTTTTACCTCCGGCTTCGAGAAGGTAATTGCGACGGAACGGTAACACGTTCCACGGCCGCGTCCATGCCCCCAAATAGCCCGAGGCACGCTCTGACGCAAGACCGATGGGATCGGTCGATGAAGAAATGTCCGCGGGCGACATAGGCGCATCGACACGGGGTCACTCCGACCTGGATTGACGTCATTTGAAAACTGGCTCGGCGGAGGCCGAAGGGTTTGGTACATGTCTTGTGTGGCTATTCAGGCTTACTATCCGACAGGGCTTTTCACGAACTGAATAAATGATTAATCCCAGTTTTGCAAAGGCGTAGGCTAATTTCAGGTATGGAACCGCACTGGACTGAAGAATTACGTAAGTTGTCAAGTGCCTATGTGGGGAACATCATGCAGATAGATAGGACAGTTGCAATAACGTTATTCCTTGGAGAAAAACCAGGAGAATAGATAGATAGATGCGTTGATATTTCGGCAACATGTCTTTACCAAAACGAATAGCTGAAGTGAATTCAACATTTTCTGTTCTGCCTATTGTTGCCGTCGAATTACCTGCTGAACAGACAAAAGGCAATTCTAAATTCAGTTCGGCTGTTTGTTTCGATAAAGGCGTGTTGCCAAAATATCAACGCATCTTTATCTCCATTCTCTTGATTTTTCTCCCAGGAACAAGGCCGTTACTTCTATCTATGGATTTACTTCTTCTATATGGATTGAAGAATGTCTCATGTGGTACGGATTGGGATAACAGTAGTAGACTGAGTACAACGGAGCCTCCGGTATGCCTAATTTTCATGAACTGAAGAATCCAATGCTTATTTGGGAAGTCATGAAGGTGCTCACATAATCCATATTTAGTTTGCGCGTTAAATTGAGCTGTCACCTGGTGGATTGATTGCGCTGGGGAATGCGTGATCTTTTGCTGGGACCAAATGTACCGAACCCAGCGCGCATTTTACGTAAAGGTGGCTTGTCAGGTGGGCTCCGTTAAGAATGAATGCTTCAGATTGGACTCGACCCTGAAACACTAATCTGTGACGAGGTCAACCGTTCAGAGAACAGCAAACGTGGGTGAATGGTCTCCTTAAAACATTCGCATGACACCGCGCTAAGAGGTTTTGTCTGCCTCAAACCTCATAAACCCGCTATGATTTAACAGCAAACTCGTGTTGAACGACCATCTCACCTCGTTTCCCATGTAGGAGTAAGAGAGGTAGAGACAGGTGAGCACCACCGCCTGCAGGTCCTGCTCGGACGCCACCTCCGGCGTCACCATCTCCTTCACCAGCATGTAGACAAACACCACGTTAGCCGGGTTGATGAAGGCTATGTCCTGCAACAGAAGAAATCATTATTCAAACCACATTCCGCCTAATATCGGACGTTTGGGTGTGTGGCGCAGGCATATTTGTAGGGTTGGGTATTAATCCGCACGTCGATGCTGGCGTAAGGTTTCATTCGTGTATCTGATTAGATATAAGCAACAGCCATTCAGGTGGAAGGCACGACAGCGATGAGGGTAGTTACTGCGCGGTTTTATCTGAGATGCTCTCACAAAATATGACCGCAGCTATCCTGGTTGATAACCAAACGCTTTTGCCAAGTCCTGAGCTTTCAACGGTACACACCAATGAAAGCATCACTGAAAAGTAAAGGAAGCGTAATGTGATGCTTTGCGCTAAAGGTCCTATGTGATATGCGCTTTGCATTCTGGAAAGAGGACGCAGGAAACAGGCTATCATTATGATTTAATTTTTTAAATACATCTTGATATGCTAGCAGGGAATGATTTACAGCCAAGGCCTCAAACTGCGATGCGACCAAAAACTCAGGCGACAGCTCCAAAACCGCAGCCATGAATCGTGACCGAGCAAGTGCCGGCGTATGACTTCGTGGCTTACTGGAAGACGAGTGTTGAATGCACGACCACACTGCTCGATGACTCTGTCGATATCGACCAAGCGCCGGCATGGAAGGAAGCTAACGTGGTGCGAAAGGTTTTGTGATTATGCGCAACGGCCAAATCCCAGCACGTGCAGAAGTCCATGCGTCATAAGATGGCGCACCGCGACACAGAAACACTTTGTTGTGGTCACGTATGCACAAAATCAACTTGCCCCAAATGAATCGCGCAAAATTGCCAAACACACAAAAAGCAGGAACGTCCTAAATGTCGGCACATTTGTAGACCCTAGTAGATGCGACAACATTTATCTTTGACCAGAAACAAGTCACACGTCGACGATCTGTAGGCAACTGGATCCCAACGTTTTGCTGTCACATGGTTTTAATCATATTTTTCTATGAAACATGACTCGTTCTTTCTCTGCCGAAACAATACAGGACCACGTGCTAACTTAAGCTGCACCCCGAGATCCTATCGGACAGATCGCACCGTCTTGACCTGTCGTAGGGTCTGTAAACCGAGCTGTGGCAACACTACCAGATATGGAAAGGGGGTAGGGGGTTGCGGCTGACTCGCGCTTTTGGAGAGAAACTTCGCAAGTCGGCGCTCATAAGCGCAAACTGAAGGCCTACTGCTCATGCGCAGCACAAACGCCAGGCACAGTAACCATTCATGCCATGTTCACAGGGAAAAAATTACTGTTCGGAGAAGAATACCAAAAAAGAAAAAGGCACAGGGAAGAAGGGAACGTAATTACTCGCTCCGAAGCTGAGGTGCGGTGTTTCTCTAGCAGCTTGCCAGGCATGTTAATAAGCGTCGGGTGGGAACGCCTTCAACATTTGAGCAGACGGTCATTTGAGTAGCTGAAGACGAATCCTGTTTGCGTGTGGATCCCAAAGAGGATGTTACATTTCATAGCAACCGTCGATAACATGAACAGATCCCGGATTCTGGAATGCATTTTTGGCATCCACTTTCCACACACATGCCTGGCTCGAGTGCCAGCCATCACGTGGTAGGTGATTGCGCTGCGCTGTTCATTGTGCCTCGGTCAGCATGATCATCATTCCCACTTGACAAATCGCTACGACAGCATTAAGCTGCCTTCTGCCGTCGGTGTCTTGGACAATCGTAAGCTGGTATGTTTGTGACAACAGTACACATCTTTTACGCGCTGCATACATGCAGCATGCTTTTGCGGAGCTGCATCATAGTGTACTGTGTCTTCGTTATGTCGACTGAAAATGACGCCCGAGGGGCGAGCATGCGTAAATGAAGTCAGAAAGTCCGACCTTCCATGTAATGAGAAAGGCAAGCACTTCTCAACATAGCACACAAAGGTCATTTATTGCACTGCGTTGTTGACATAGCCAGATCGTGTTGACTCATGGCGTGGCGGCCTTTCTTCACCGATCCTTCGAGCTGAATTGGTACCATTTTCTTAACAGAGCCGGAGTTCTACATGTTCTGATATGCAGCAATTCCCAGCATTGCTGCTTGTTTCAGCTTTTGGCATTTCACCATTTTGTCGACCTTTGACACCTTGCCATTTGCACCCGGTTACAAATTAGCCGTCATTTGACGCGAGATCATTCTCGATTCCGGTACGTCCATGCACGGGCCGGCCTATTTGGTTATAGTTATTGGCGTTTCCGTCTCAGCATTTGGTCTTTTTTATACGGAGCCATCTGTGCGTAGTCGGCATGCTACGTGTTCTTACACTTCACCATTGACCAAGGTGACGAATTTCGTTCAGGCTCGACCCAGCCATCTGCGCCAAACCGCCAGCGTATTTCCCCGCTTCTGCGGACTTCAAATCCTGGGCGTGACACGTGACAAAGGGCGCCATTCCGTCACGCCTCGGCGCACGTGACACGACCGCTTCCGCCAGCGGCGCCGCGAACTGTGCGGCTTCTGGGGTGCAGCCGTCGGCTTTATTGTGCTTCGGCGCGGGGATCGCGCACGTGGCGCGTCCTCCCTGAGGCGTATCTCACGCCAGGGTAAAAGGTCGCCGAACTTTGGGAAAGTTAAGTTATGGGCAATATGAGGTGCCCTTATGAGTTCACAGAGGATAATGAAGGGTAGCCCGGGAGAGGACGGAGCCGGGAGGCGGGTAATGCGGCAGTAAACCCGGCTAAGCGGCGTCCGTTTGAAACCTAAATTAACTTAATTACGTGAGCCTCGGGCCTTGACAGGCGCTGCGTTCTCATAAGCTTAGCATCACACACATTACGGGGATCTGCGGGACTTCCAGTTTACAAATGACTGAATTGAGAATGGGTCGATGATCACCCAACCACCAAAAGAGACTCACACAACGCGATGTGGGTCATAAATCCCCTAACTTTCCGTCAAAATGACCACTCAGCCACATAGATACCATCGTTCGAAGTATAAACCATCCGCTGAATGGAGCCCGCTCTCCCGGGTCCGTCAGCTAATGTTCTTTCGATATGGCTGCAAGGGAATGAGCCGTCCTGGAGCAAGCGGAAGCAGGAGCGTGGCGCACTGACCACGCCTGCTGCTGCGTATGCAGCCGCCGCATATCTCGCCTCTACCCGGATCTGACCGTGTACCTGGTTTGGTTTGTTCACGTGTGTGTGTGCGCCAGTGCAATACGTTTTTTCCTGCACGATTGGATTCATTATCTTTCATTACGGCGCTTCCATGTTGTTTGTTTATGCAGGAACCAAGGCCAGATAAACGAGCGGAACGGATCACTGCCAAACAGATGGCACAGGAAAAACACGCTTACTGTCCAAAACTGAGCAAAACCGTTTGTTTGACAGGAACTCCACGAAACCTGCGACGAGCAGAAGAAGATACCTTATTGATATCATGGCGTTTTTCGGTGTATGGGCGCGCATTTGACATCCCGGGTCATCTGGCGCCACAGTCTGTTACTCCGAAGGTCAGGTCATGGCTTGCAATGCATTTTTACGTTTTCACGCAGGTCGAGCTTTTCATCTGTTTGGAAGGACCCACACTATGCGAAACTGGTCTCCCTGTCTTGTATTGAAGCCTATGCGACTAAAAAGTCGCAAAAATGACTTTGCATCAGTGCTGTTTTTAAAGAAAACATTCGTTGCTTCCAGAGCTTGTTTTAGGAAATTTCTATCAATACTTCTATCAACTTCGATGTCTAGTTTCTCTTTTACCCATGTTTATGTTTACTGCACTGCCGTTGTTTGGGGCCTGAAAATCTCTGGTCTCTGGCCCCAGCCCCGTCAGTAAAACTCCTAGCAGCCTGTATCATTGCATCATTGCAGATTTATAGCCTGCCGTCTTGCAGGCTCCAGTGATGACCAGCACATTTTTTCAGAAGCTGACTACAATTATTTCGAAGTACATGCATCTGAGCTGTCTAATAATGCATGGCTTCCTGCAACATTACAGCGCAACTGAAGTTCAACATCTGTTAGGCGATTCGCATGTGACTAACACATAGTTTGCAAAGTTAAACAGACTGCGCAGAGGATGTCTAAACCAGCCATATATCTCAACAAAACGGGAACGTAACAACACGGTATCGATTCCATTTGCCTGAGAGAGGAAGGAACAAGCGTATTTCCACAAATGTGAGTGACCACAGGCATCAGGCAGTGACTGCTCGGATCGGGAGTAAATGCGTGACCACAGGCATCAGGCAGTGCCTGCTTGGATCAGGAGTAAATGATAGATCCACCGGTTATAGGTGTTTTTTTGTGTTCAATATACGCTGGTTACCAGTAACAAGAGTCGAAAGGGAGTGTAAACTGCAGTACATACAGGACGTATACAAATGTACATATTTCTATGAGATGCAAATAGCTAGTTAAACACTATTCGAGACGTAAGAACGCCAATAATTGACCGGAAAGCGATAAATTTTACTTAGAAAACAAATACATCGAATACAAGCTTCTGAGGCCTAAACGGAGAAAGAATGAAACATCAAAGGTATTCAGGCGTTCAACCCAATGCAACATGACTGGCATCTACCATTTTTTAAAAATTACTCCAGGGCTCCTGGAGTAATTTTGTAATATTGAAACATATTTATTCAAAACATACGATCCGCATTTATCGATTTTGTCGACTTTATTAAGGAGACTTGACCAATTCCGGGACCTGTTGTAGCTTGGCCCATTGTCAGCAATTTAATTTTTTAAAAATTGTTCCGTGCACAATACATCAGTGAACTGCTTTCTTTTCAGCTCTCACAGCACACGGACATTCCAAATGCATTGATAAAGCTTATTTGTGCTACTTCACAAAAGCATGCTCACTTTAACTAAAGTCTTGGCAACAGCTACTCATGCCAGTACACATCTTTGTCGTACTCTCATTCACCGGATTTCTGATAAGATTTCCTAATAACTCGCCGAAAGGGTTGCAAAATGACAAAATGTGGTAGATCAGTGACACAGGCCCGAATAATTTAAAAAAACAATCTAGAGTTTACCTTCCACAGCTAAACATTAACTATATGTGTCGAAATGCTATCACTGCGTCATTCATTGTGTGATGTGACACACCTTCTGGATGTCTTAAAACCAATGAATCATGACCTGCGTGCCACGCATGTCTCGGAGCTGTCCGCCCCCCCCCCCGCGTTCATCGCCGTCCACAAATGGTCTCGAAAAGCCAATACTCATGATGGTACTTCCTGGCCTCGCTGCGAAACAGGACCGTCTCGGAGATGTTGACGGTGCTAGACGCTTGACTTTAAAGAGACCGACCGCATCTCGAAAACCATGAAATGTTTTTTGCCACCAGGCCGTCTCGGAGTTCTCATAGAATCACCGCCCATGTGACATCAGGCGCCTTCACATCTCTTGGACGCGCCGTGTCCCCTGCGTTACTCCGCCACTTGGACCCCTCCGGAACCGATCTGCCAGGGAGCCCGTGATTGGCCGAGACAACCAGGGTCCAGCAGAGAGGGGGGCAGTAGCCAAAGAGGGACTGCAGGTCTGCGTGGTGTTTCCAAGGATGAGAAACGCGAGGCACGACGTGCGTGAGAGCTTGCTATTATTTCTGCGCCGTCGGAATCCGCCCCGGCATTTAACTGTGGTCCGAAAGTCTGGAAGTGCGTGATAAAACCAATCACTAAAGCTATGTGTTCGCCAAAAGTGTGTCGTCTCCTTTTGGTTACATGCCAAACTTACTCGCAAATTGGACCATTTCATCGAAGTCTTCAGGAACCCTCTGAAATACCACCATGAACTACGTAGTTACGACTTAATTGCTTGGAACCAGAGTGCTGGTTTATCGTGAGCTACATTTCATAAGGTTCGACCTCGAAGGCAGGCGTCAAGGTGGTATTAAACCATACGTATGATGTACAGCTTAAATGCAATAACTGTAAAATACTGTATCAAAGCGAATCACTAACCTTTCTGGCTTTACCTCTTGGAGCAGTGACACCTTCATGCAATATTTGGATGCTCTTTCATGATGGAATACAATGTATTCTTATACTGTCAAACGAAAATATCCGTTCACATGTTCCACATTCCTCTCAATAATTAGACGTTATTGCATGCATTTTTGCATGGTAGAAGAACAGAAACTTACATAACCGCAAAGTAATGTTGGGGCTGTTGCACCACGAACTATTACATGACAGACTATTGCGGGTAGACTATTGCGTGATAAATCTATTGTACGGTAGACTATTTTACGACTCATGATTAGACTATTGACTTTTGCACGGCTCGTATTGTGCGTGCTCATACAGCGCGTCAGAGTGTTCTGAAATATCACGAAGATATGTTCTTAAGTACAGGTATACATATAACATTCCGAATGAAGCCTCTTTTTTGACAAATTACCCAATTATGTCAGCAGCATCGCAGCAGCAGACTGCCCTCGTCACCTGCCAACCTCGCAGCAGCAGACTGTCCTCCCACTTACCAGCTCTGCTGCAGCAGACTGCCCTCGTCACCTGCCAACCTCGCAGCAGCAGACTGTCCTCCCCACTTACCAGCTCTGCTGCAGCAGACTGCCCTCGTCACCTGCCAACCTCGCAGCAGCAGACTGTCATCATCACCTTCCGGCCCCGCTGCAGCAGACCATTGTCCTCACCTGCCAGCCCTGCCACAGCAGACCACCGTCCTTACCTGCCAGCCCTGCAGCAGACCACTGTCTTCACCTGCTAACCCTGCAGCAGACCGCTGTCTTCACCAGCTAACCCTGCAGCAGACCGCTGTCTTCACCTGCTAGCCCTGCAGCAGCAGACCACCGTCTTTACCTGCCAACCCTGCAGCAGCAGACTACTGTCTGCTGCTGCAGGGTTGGCAGGTCCTACAGCAGCAGACTACTGTCCCCAAACGTCAGACCTACAGCAGCAGACCACTGCCCTCACCTGCCAACCCTGCAGCAGTAGACCACTTTCCTCGCCCTCCAGCCCTGCAGCAGCAGACCACTGTCCTCACCTTCCAGCCCTTTAGCAGCAGACCATTGCCCTCACCTGCCAGCCATGCAGCAGCATACCATTGTCCCCACCTGCCAGTCCTACAGCAGCAGAACACTGTCCTCACCTGCCGGCCCTGCAGCAGCAGACTGCGCTCCTCACCTGCCAGCCCTGCAGCAGCAGACTGAGCTCCTCACCTGTTAGCCGTGCAGCGGCAGACCACTGTGCTCACCTGCCAGCCCTTCAGCAGCAGACCACTGTGCTCACCTGCCAGCCCTGTAGCAGCAGACCACTGTGCTCACCTGCCAGCCCTGCAGCAGCAGGTTGCGGTCGACCGTGCGCAGCCACATGATGGCGTCACCCGGCTGGAAGTTGGCCAGGTGCGCGCAGCGCCGCTGCAGGAACATGCCCAGACACTTGAGCAGCTCCGAGGTCGACGCCTGGATGACAGTCTTCTTGCCGGGGCTCACGGTGGCGCCGGGCGGCGTGAGCACGGCGCGCGGCAGCTGATCTGTCCGCGCGCCGCTGACGCGCGCCACGTCCAGGTGCGCCACGGCCGCCGCCGCCGTCTTCAGGCTGTAGCATGACAGCGTCGTCTGGATGTTCTTGTTGTTGTCGACGCGCGGGTGGATGATGTCGAGCGGCGCGCGCGTAGCCCGGCCGCGCGTCGGGTTCTGATTGCTGTCGAGACGCTTCTTGCCGCTGGACGAGAAGCGCTTCCAGCTGAGCGCCTGAATGAAGTTGGAGTGCTTCTTGAGGCTGCGCTCCACCTGAGCCGGGTCGAGCAGTGCGTTGGCATTCTCGTTGGCGACGCCGTGGCGCGACGGGTGGTACATGGCGTCGTAACTGGCGTTGCTGAGCGCCGGCCGCGCGCCGTAGCCTCGCCTCTCGTGCGGGCTGAAGGAGAGCACGGTGCCCATCGCGCCGACGGCGACCGCCTCCAGCGAGCGCGAGCGGACCAACACCTTCGAGCCGGCGCGGTACGGGCGGGTCACAGGGAAGGCACGCCGCACGCCGTGCCGCTCATCGCCGCTGGGCTGATGGCGCCGGACCGGCCGGCTGGAGGACAGCCGCGGCCGGCATCGATCCGGCCGCCGCGCAGCCGCGCTGACCAGTTGTCATGGCAACACGGGCGCGGCAGACGTGACGTGACCTGGACATCGATTTTCGCACGGCGGAATCGGGCGGTAGCCGGTTCACACACGGTAGCCCTGACCTTTGATGATGGCTCATGTGGGACATGAAGACCGGGCCGTGCATAAGTCGGGGATGCTGAGGTTGACGCGACGGCATCCTTTCCACGCGTCCCGCTTCAGGCCGCCACCTGATGATGCCGTCCAGAGCTCCGTCGGTGACGCTCCATCCATGCATCGTACCGACGCGCTGTCTTCCGTGGCCCGCCCCGCAGCGGATAGCTCAGCTCCGTCGGTGACGGTCCATCCATGGATCGTGCCGACGCGCTGTCTTCCGCGGCCCGCCCCGCAGCGGATAGCTCAGCTCCGTCGGCGACGCTCCATTCATGGATCGTGCCGACGCGCTGTCTTCCGCGGCCCGCCCCGCAGCGGATAGCTCAGCTCCGTCGGTGACGCTCCATCCATGGATCGTGCCGACGCTCTGTCTTCTGCGGCCCGCCCCGCAGCGGATAGCTCAGCTCCGTCGTTGACGCTCCATCCATGCATCGTGCCGACGCGCCGTCTTCCGCGGCCCACCCCGCAGCGGACAACTCAGCGGCGGACGGTGACCGCTCTCCGCCCGCTGACTAATCAAAGCGGAAGCGGGCCGCGGTATCGGTGCCGGTCCGCCGGCCGGCAGACGCTGACCACGGATTCCGGCGACCCGGCGCGTGTCTGTGACGGCTCCAGGCTGGTGCTCCTCAGTGCCGGATCTGCTCGGCTGTCGGCAGCCCGTACTGCTCTCCCGGCTCCTCTGCTGTCGCTGCTGCTGCCGGCGTCTCCTGCCATCCCGCTCGCCCCGGGCGGGTCTGTTCTGAGCCTGTTGAGCGGCCATTCTATCACTCCTGGCTGCGAGTAATCGTTCTCGAGCCTGAATTTACAGCGCCTGGCACTTACTCCTCTTCTAAATCTGATCTCTCTATCCCGAGTCCGGCCGCTGAGCATCAGCCTCCCCCGTTGGCCCATGCCGCTGCTCCTGACGCCGGCTGTCCTGAGGTCCGGCCCTGTTCCCTCCTGTGCGTGACCTCCTGTGACCGAGTGGCCGAGTGACCGGTGCTGACCGAGCTGCCTGTGACCTCGCGGGACGTCCATCTCCGGCCCGAGAGCGGCCTCGCACGCGACAATGGCACGCCCCCGAGTCAAGTCGCTGGACGACCTCATCGTCAACGTGGCCACCATCAATATCGGCGACGAGGCGGCCGACGAGGACCTCTTCACGGACGAGGAGGAGGCGCAGCACGAGGGCGTGATCGTGATCGTCGACCAGCTGGAGGGGGGCGCGGGGGCTATGGAGGCGGCCGCCAGCCCGCCGGCAGACGCCGATCAGGGTGCTGACAAGGGCGCCAGGGCCAAGCCGCCGCTGGTACGCAAGAGCTCCAGCCAGAGGCGTATCCAGCAGGTGAGGACTCGAGACGGGAGGCGGTGAGGGCGGAGGCGGCTCCTAGAGGGGAGGGTCCGTGAGGACCAGGCGACGCGGGCGGGTCAGGTGGGGAGCAAAAGGCCAAACGCACACTCCGACGGAACGTGGGGTTTACTGTGCAGGCGGCAGCGCTGTAGCGACGCTAGCCAGCTGTGGCTAGCTCAGGCTGACTCGATGTGTCCGCAGTGACTACTCCCCGCACAGTTGTGCTCTAATACGTGGGGAGCCGGTATCCGTTACAACCGAACACCATACAACGAAATCTTGCGTCGATTTCGTCTTGTGTCACGGTGACCTATATGAACTTATCAAAATTATGCTGGAAACTTCAGCAATGTCTGGCACACACATGACCATGTTTACGTTGATTTGGTTTCTTGCTTTGGCTTTCAAGAGCTCAGATATCAATTCGGAGCGAAAAAGAGCCGAAAATAGCCTATTGTAAGTGTGAAAGCACGGGAATGCTACGGAATGCAGGACCACTCTGAGTCACAAGAGTACAGTTCGATCACCAACAATATAACACCGCAGCTTCTCCTGGTGGGCGCACAATATAACACCGCAGCTTCTCATGGTGGGCGCACAATATAACACCGCAGCTTCTCCTGGTGGGCGCACAATATAACACCGCAGCTTCTCCTGGTGGGCGCACAATATAACACCGCAGCTTCTCATGGTGGGCGCACAATATAACACCGCAGCTTCTCATGGTGGGCGCACAATATAACACCGCAGCTTCTCCTGGTGGGCGCACAATATAACACCGCAGCTTCTCATGGTGGGTGCTTTTGATTTGAGCACGCCGTTTTTGCTTCAAATGTTATGCAGTTAACGATAGATTAAGACCTTGAGACCTTGACCTAGCCCATCTTATACTCAGAATCATCATATACAGTGAAAACGCCAGCGCGCTGTAGGATGCCTCTCACCACCGACTGGACCGCTTTCAAGAGGTGGCCCGCCGCACCGGCAGATCCGTATCCGCGGCAAGACGGTGTGGGAAGCGCGGCTGACGGACCCGGCGCGCGCCGGCGAGCCGGACCAGGCGCTCGGACTCGGCGTCTTCATCGCCTCCGACGCCGCCCGACAGCACCTGGTCTACAAGGTCGACTCGCTGGTCAGCTCGGTCCAGCTGCAGCTCAGGTCAGCTCAGGTCGATCTTCGGGCAGGTCAGCTCAGGTCAGATCAGGTCGACTACTGGTCAACTCGGGTAGGTCTCTGCTCAGGTCAGCTCAGCTGAGGTCTGCCTCTGGCCAGGTCGCGGCTCAGATCGACCCCTGATCAGGTCAGCTGAGGTCTGCCGCTGGCTAGGCTGACTCAGGTCGACCGCTGGTCAGATCTGCTCAGGTCGGCTCAGGTCAACCGCTGGTCAGGCCAGTTCAGGTTCACCGCTGGTAAGGTCGAGGCGACTAGGTCAGATCAGGTTAACCTACATCAAGTGAGGCTAGCTCTGCTGGAAGCTTGAGTCTACTCGAATCAGCTTAATGGTCAGCTTTACTCATAGGCAATTTCGGCACAGCTTTTCAAATTAATCATTGGCCAACGTATCGTAGCTAAACAGGGCTTAGACTTAGCTTGGTCCAGCTCGAATTGACCAGCATAAGTCGAGCCCGCTCGTCGTGCAGCACGCTCAGCAGCAATCCATCGGGTACCCAAGCAGCACACAGCCGGTGCAGTGGCCGCAGCGTGTCAACAATACGTCGCACGGAGCGGGCGGGCTACAGCCTGGGTCTAGACAATTACAGGATCGCGTCACTGTGACGTATTCAGATTCGGTGCCAGGTGGTGTAGCGCGTGCTGTTTGGGATCGGATACATTTACGGGTCGATGCGCACCAGTACCTAAAGCGTGCGTTCGATTTCCGATAGTTAGCTTCGTGGGAACCGCACAGTGTATCGCGCTTGGGCTCGGATATGGACGACACGCACAAATGTAGGCAACCGCCGGGGCCGGAATCAGGCTTACTCTCGACTCCACTCCAGCGGGATCGATTCCTTCTCGGACTCACAGCGCACGGGGTTGATTCCGACTCCGATCTTGAACGACTCTGAACAGGTTTGGAGTCAACTGAGACTCGGACTCCAAACAAATTGGCTCAGTTCGGGAGTCAGTTCCACGGTGGTGGCAACTGGAGCATTTGGCGATGCCAGTGAACTTACATAATAGGATGCATATCTATCTATATATCTATCTATCTATCTATATATGTATATATATATATATATATATATATATATATATATATATATATATATATATATACATAATAGGTTATAACAGACTAGATGACTATTTGTTCCATGCGCATCACTCAGGCCCACAGAGGCCCCACATAATTGCTTGCCCACACTATCAACTTTCCTGTTCATCTGCGCTACTCATCACCAAAACCGACCACCATTTTTGGCTTTTGATTTTTGGGCTCTACTGTTTTGTTCTGCTGCAGCTGTCGGTGCCGACCAGTGTGTTCTGTCGTACAGGGCTCGTGACCGACTGCTGGAGGTGAACGGGACGCCGGTGGTGGGCTGGACCCAGCCGCTGCTGACCCGCGTGTTCTGTCGTACAGGGCTCGTGACCGACTGCTGGAGGTGAACGGCACGCCGGTGGTGGGCTGGACCCAGCCGCTGCTGACCCGCGTGTTCTGTCGTGCAGGGCTCGTGACCGACTGCTGGAGGTGAACGGCACGCCGGTGGTGGGCTGGACCCAGCCGGCGCTCGCCTCGTTCTTCCTCTCCATCCCGCTGGCGCCCACGCGCACGCCGCACGACCGCAGCGCCCCTCGCGGCAGCTTCTGGCAGCCGTTCTCAATGGTGAGACACGCCTCAGATGACAGGCTCGCTGAAACTTTGAGCAACGGAGCTTCCGTTCCGATGAAGTTTCGACTGGGGACGAATGCCTGATATGCCCTTGGCCCTGGGTTGTGACCCGCTGTTCCTCTGCGACAGCTGGTGGAGCGGACTCCACGGCCGGCCAGCAAGGCGGACCCGAGAGTTCCGTTTAGTCGCCTGCTTCGTGCGCACCTGTCGTACCAGGCCAGCAGAAAACGTGAGCCGATTTCACCTTTAGATCTTCACGCTGCTCAAAGTCTCTCGATTTGTGTTTGTCATGAAATTCATGACGGGCTGGAGGAATAGGAGTGGTTGCGATTCTCTGCACACAATTGTTTTTACACATCCTGGTGCCTCAGCGTTTTTCCGTGGTTTTGACCCGAATTCGGTATCAGAATTCGGAAGCGTGGGAAGGCAGCGGCAAGACACTGCCAAAGAGTTGCAAAGCTAATGACCGTGTCCAAATGGAACTCGCGATTTCGATAACTCTGGGTTTCGATAGCCTTGGGTTGGCGCTCTCAAACCTCCAAAGTTTTCCTGACAACGGGAGCTCTCGCAGCAATGAAGTTAGCAGCGCCTCAGCCAACATGTTGTTACGGCCAGGGAAAAATGTATGCCTTTGGCTGTAGTTTCTTGCACGGGTCTTAATCATGAAATAGACCATGTGCTTCAGATCCTGTAGAATACGTGCAAGAAATCTCGTGTCACAGTTTCGATAACGATTGTATTTCAGAGTGCGGCTTTTCTATTCCTTGAGTGTCACAAACAACGCTGTTTTACACATGATTCTCCCCCGCCCGTTTGGGCTTCTAAAACTATTTCATGGTTATGTGCTTCAAGCTGCGCAAGTTGAAAGAGCTGGATTTATTCCACATGAAAAATCTGCCTGTTACACCAGATTTGCGACGAAAACGGCTAGCAAAGGACAATGCATAACCTCTTTTCTTATATCTTCTGGCTCATCTATTAGAGTTCTTCACGGGAAATATTTCTTTTACTTGCTCATTTCCACCCGCTACCCATTCCTGATCAGTTATACTCAAAGTCCATACCTTACCTACCGGTTCGCACTTTCCAGAGCTGCGTATGTAGGTTGCACAGGTTTGAAAGGAGACTGTGATTTGAAGACGATGCGTTGGCCCGTGACGTAAAATCGGGTTCTCGGAGCTGTCTGTCTTTCATGCCAGCTGCTTGCTTTCCATGTTCAAATGAAATTCGCTCACCCTGCGCATTCTCTCGTAAAACGTTCCATCCATCAGTCACCATGCATCACATACCATGCTACAGCACTTCCCAATGCCCCGTCTTAAATTTCGAACGGCTGAAAAAGCTTTATAAACATGCCACCGTTTCCCTTTGATAATGGAAAAGTCATGAGGACGTACCACAACCAAAATAAGCAGAATGCTACGGTTATGTAGCATTTCTGGGGGCATACAATCGAAATCCTTACTAGTTTTTACTCTTATCCTTAGCCACAACATTGCCAAATATCAACTCAGTCCAGCCCGACGACTACTATCTATTGAGAAATCATGAATTTATTCAATCGCACATGAGGCCTTCACGTTCACGTAAACTTCAATCAAAATTGCCTGTAAATTTGACCGTTACTTATTTTTGGGCTCTGTTGCGTAGATGTCAAATAACCAGCATGAAGATAAGCGTCAATGGGAACAGAACCGCGGCTTTCCCCAACTTGGGTTCTCACCGATCCATTACATCTAAAATATGAAGATGCCATTCCGTTGCAGTGAATGCACCATGCACCAATCAGCCAGTTGACCCCAATGGCCGTGCAGCTGCGCCCACCGCTGATGTCACTTCTTGCCGTCAGAGGTGGTCTTCTCTGATGTAACAGCAAGAGTTGCCACGGACATACAGCTCACCTTCAAGAGCCAGCGGATGATGCGGATTCGCCACGTGGCCTCCGCCAGCTGGCTGGCTGTGACGTCACTGCTGGCTGGCCGAAGCCGGCTATGCACGCGAGAGAACGAGGGTGAGAGCCACTGCACACGAGATGACGAGGGTGAAAGCCACTGCACGCCAGAGGACGAGGGTGAGAGCCACTGTTCGCAAGAGGACGGGGGTGGGAGCCACTGTTCACCAGAGGACGGGGGTGGGAGCCACTGCACGCCAGAGGGCGAGGATGAAAACCACTGCACGCCAGAGGACGGGGGTGAGAGTCACTGCACACCAAAGGACGGGGGTGAGAGTCACTGCACGCCAGAGGACGGGGGTGAGAGTCACTGCACACGAGAGGACGAGGGTGAAAGCCACTGCACGCGAGAGGACGAGAGTGAGAGCCACTGCACACCAGAGGACGGGAGTGAGAGCCACTGCACGCGAGAGGACGGGGGTGGGAGCCACTGCACGCCAGAGGACGGGGTGAGAGCCACTGCACGCCAGAGGACGAGGGTGAGAACTACTGCACGCGAGAGGAGAAGGGTGAGACCATTGCACCCAAGAGGACGTGAGAGTCATTACACGCGAAAGGACGAGAGTGAGAGCTACTGCGCGCGAGAGGACAAGGGTGAGAGCCATTGCACGTGAGAGGACGTGAGAGCCACTGCACGCGAGCGGACGTGAGAGCCGCTAGAGTCCTGCTCGATGATATGACAATCGGCAGACCTGCAGCAGGCCTAATGGCACCGCAAAATGGCCCCGATGCTGACGCACCCTTAAAAACCAAATCACCACCACCTAATGACACCGCTATTCGATAAATGCTCGCGACTTTAGTAACGCTGCGAGCATGAGGCGTTGCCATTTGAAAAAAACAAGTTTTTTACTGATTGAAGTATGAGAAAAGTCCGCCTTGAACTACTCCCTCACTGGTTTCATTTCCGCTTATTAAGCATCCACCAAACTTCAGAATGCATCACATCCGCGCCACCCTTCAGCCGCTTAATGCCGGTCCGGGGGTTGTGTAACCAACGCCATGTCGCCAAGCTACCGCCGTGACCAGGTCTTAGTGTCGCCATGCCTGCCACCAGGGGACGCCACGGTGTTCCGCGTGCACGAGTACCGCACGGCCGACCCGTACGCGGTGCCGGTCTGCATGCTGCAGACGCCTGGCGGCGAGTTCGTCAGCTGCTGCGGTAACCCGGCACCAGCAGTCTCCGTGAGTGGCTTCATGCCGATCCTGTTAGCTGGCGTCGAACGCCCGCGCCAGGCGTCACGTGGAGCTATCGTGATCAGCGTTCGCGCGGCGAGTGGGGCAGAGAGCCGGGTACGGCGCGGAGTTGGCAGCCGCCGCCGGTTGTGACGGAGTTCCTCCCGCCGCCGGTCAGTGTCAGCATCAGTCAAGAGCCATCAGGATCAGTACAGAGCCATCAAAGCGGAACTCGGGAGTCGCGTTAACCACCCGCTGGCAGGCCGCCAGGCCTGGCGCAGCGCCGCGCAGGGGGGGGGGGGAGGGGGAGGCGCTGCACCGACTTCTGATGCCAAAGGGATTAGTGACTGGCGCAGGATTTAACCGAGACGAGAACTGCCGCCCTCAAACGGCAAAGGGAATAGAATGCTGCACTCTGACAGATAACTTAGCGTGTGCTTTCCGGCATTTGCGGAATGGCACGGGACCGCCCCTGGCGGCATTGTGCCCAAACACGTAGCTTGCCCCATAAAGGCTCCTTCAGATTTATTATCAGCACCGGTTGGTATGATCCTCACGGTGAAGAAGACCAGGCAATGGCTGCCGTCCCACATGATATTGCAAAAGTTATTGCAACGGCTGCCGTGTCGGCGGAAGCTGATGTGCCATTCCACGGCGTCAGTGTTACGCCCGAAGCATTTTGATTTAGGCAACACACGCGTCCGTTCGGCAAAGTTACCAAGCAAGAATTACGGGGTGCATTTTGCCTCGGTTAATATTCCGCAAGCTCTGGCGCAATCATGTTTTCCATAAAATGTGAGCTTGGCTGTGTGGCGGCGGGAACTGCAACCATGGTGTAATCTCCAATGTGGGGCTGCACGTGAAATGTGATATATTTTGTGAATTGGGGTGCGATACGCTAAGAAAGACAATGCAATGTATGTGTGTGTGGGGGGGGGGGGCAGGGGGGAGCGTCATCCTTAATCTTTTCATTCGACTTGGAGCTTGTCTGACTGGCTTGCCTAACCATACCTGCATCATGATCGAAGGTCTCATTAACATGCGTCAATCCTAAAAAAACGTCCCAAAACGGACGAGATATTTGCGCACGAAAGCGCGCTGCCGTCTCCACCCATCGGCCCTGCCCTTTACCGCTACGGTTGTCCGTTCCCTTCGCTCTCAAAACGTGCTGGCAAATTGTCGCTGCGCCACTGAGCTGGTCTGTGGAATCGCGTTTGAACCGATGCGCTGCGGCTCGGAGAGGCCGTCATTGAGGCTTAACGACGCGCCCGGGTGCTGAGGCTATGGCGTCGCCTGCCTCTCACCCTGACAGGAAGGGGGCCAGCGCGAGGGACCAAACCTCGTGCCTCCGGTCTCCCAGACGCGCGGCTTAACGCGCGCTGCGCCACCGGCGCCCCTGTCTCCCATGTTTATCGAAGGGAAACCATTTTTGCTCCAATTGCGATGTTGCAGACAAATCACGCCTGATTGGATACACTGTTAGCAAATGATTTAATATTTTTACGACGCAACTTTTAGGGAATTCCGTTTGTTGCTGTGAATCGCATAGAGCTGCAGTCAGCCAATGGAGACATCATATCCTAGAAAGCATGGCGACTGGACCGTGTCGCCCAAATCAAGGGTATCACCGTCCAAGTAAGACCCGTGCGGCCTGTGGGCTCGCTCGCAATATCACGGGACCTCTCGCTAGTTTCTCAACAAAACGGCTTTGCTCCATTCACCGAACCGCTCGCGCTCGTCCGTTTTTCGTACTTCTGATGTCATTCGTCCACGCGGACGGTTCTCAGGCGGCTCCAACGGACAACACATTGTTTCAAGCCGAAGAGCAGCCAGGTTTGGTGTTCCTCCATGTGACGGCCGTATGTCACACACTGCTGAATAACTTGTGTGCCGTGATTGTCGCAGAAAGGCGCCTGGCCAGGCGTAGGTGACGAGGTTACCGTATGCGACGCCAGATGTCTCCTAAGTCGATCGGCCGGACCAGATGGCGCTGTCACACTGGAAACCATCAAAGGTAGGGCCTCCGAACCCTGAGACCCACTTACCAAGCCCGCACTTTAAAGCAGTGTTACCAACAGCCGGATAATAGATCTCCATTAGGCCCTCATCCAACCAGTTCTGTTTTCATAAGCACACCGAGCAAGAAACATGTAAACCGCATACAAGTACGAGCGATACGGTTTATCTATTGCGTACCAATATTTGGCCGCATTTTTTGCACACATGATGTCGTTCTCGAGCGCATCACTTCCTTCCGCTAACGGTTTCACTCTCACAATAGCTCAGCCGTGCGCTGGACACTACTCCGTCCGTGCCGCCGGAAGTTACGATAGATGACCTCTGGCACTTGCTCGTTGACCTTTGAAAAGCTCGCTGACGGCGCGTGCCCTTTCAGCGGGCCACCAGGCCGAGTACCTGTGCCTGGAGGGTCGAACTCTGCTCTTCCGGCCTGAGGCTCCCGGCCTGGAGCCTGTGTTCTGCTGGAGGGAGGTACCCGGCGCCAAGGAATGAGCGCACATTTTCAGCGGGCAGACAGACAAACTGCCGACAAATCTGACGGCTATCCGATCCTGTCACGCCGATGCTCGGGACGCCTGAATGCCCCGAGAGTGACCACATGAGGTCAGGGTTAGTTCCTTGCCTCGCGAGCCCCTGATGTGGAGGCCATCTTTTCCGCAGCCCGTATGCCACGGACGGGCCAGCTAACGGCCTGCCGCCCCCGCCGCGGGACCGTCCACTCCTGGATGTCAGACGGGCGCAGCCGAGTGCTCTCACCGTCTCCGTTGCAATGTAATGCTGCAGTGAGGCCGAGGCAAGCAGGAGATTGTTCGTAGATGTCTGATCGCCTGATCGCTTGTGCGGAAAGGGGATTGCCATATGTCCACCGTTGCATGGATCAGGCCGCTTGCGACGGGAACGACGTACCAAAGCCCGGCTGAACTTGACATAAGCGATCGCGCGGGACTGACCGGCCCCGGACAATGCAATACACTTAAGACACCGGCCTCATCTGTCCTTTCCATCTGTATTCTCACATACACGGGTAGCCGGTGTCTGCCGGCGCGCGGCCGCTCGCAGAGCCGGCCCGAGCCACGGCGGCGCCTGGCCGGGCGCTGACCGCCCGACACGCCGCAGACCACAGCAGCGCTCACGCTGTACACGAGGTACGGCCGCAGGGCCTGCTCAAGCTAAGCTGGCGGGCGCAGAGCCGCCGAGTTTCTCACACACGCCGTCTGACATATTCCGTGAGAGTCTGAGAGCTCGCCCCAGACCAATGTCGCTGCACCGCTGCGGGTCGACCAGTTCTTCATCATCATAGTCGCGCCGCGGGGGCAGCCAGCGCGCTACACAGCCACGCGCAGGGACTCGTCATCGTCGTTTTATTCACACGCACGCGCTCTGACGGGATATTCAGATTTGACACATTTTGCTCATGCCGGTGGCGAGGGGCAAGACAAACGGAGAATTGCACGACACGCGGCGGCCGGCCCCGACCAGCCTAACATGTACACAACACGAGGCCATTAAAATATAAATAACTACAAATGAATGAGAACCTACCGATACTATGTAATACGCAATGTGTGAGTGGGGATGCCATATCAACAGAATCGACACAACGAATCCGACACTGAACTCTAGGGGCGGGAGAATCATCACATCTTATGGAACCCACCGCCGGCGCGCGCCTCGTCCGCGCCCCGTCGCGCGGGAGGTAGCAGCGTAGGGTCCGCCCACTGCCCGGGCCCCGCCCAAAACCGACGGCGAGCGACACTAGCGCCGCACCGCGCCGGCCGCCCGCGCGCGCGGGGCGTAACAGCGAAAAACAACCTAACTAGGCGTCTGTGGTGACCGACGCTGGGTCGGCCGACGCCACGTCATGGGAGCGCGCTCGGCCAGCGCGGACCGAGCGCCGTCGGGCTAGCGGGCGGCGCCAGTCCGCAGCCGGCCCCGCCTCGGCGGCGGCACGCGCCCGCGCTGCCGGCTGAGATTCGCCGCAGGCCGCCGCCGCCGCCGCCCTGGAATAGTCCGTGGCCGCGCGCGGCGCTCACAGCTTCTCCTTCGACGGGATCCAGATGCGGTTGGTGCCCTGCTCGCGGATGATGTCCTTGACCTTCTCGTACACCTCCTCCGGGGTGTCGCCGGTCACGATCGCTGGTGACGGGGGGAGAGCGTGGTCAGGCTCGGCGGGGCGGCACCCACACCCGCACCCGCACCCGCACCCGCACCCGCACCCGCACCCCGCTCCCACCGGCGGCCATGAGTGCAGCCCATGCCACGGGTCTGGTCTGGACAGGCGTGGAACGAATGGCGATTTCTTCCCTGCTGCAAGCTTGTACTGCGACGGGACAAAATGAAACCAATACTAGAAACAATAATTGTTAACAAAAAATAGCATAACAAACTGGAACAACACATGTGTGAGATGAAAACGGCAACGTTTCTATGGACACCCATTTCCGATGCAGCTATTTTGCGACAACTTCAAAGACAAATCAATGCAGGCGGAATGCTGGCACATGGCGCATGACGGCGTCAGAGCCTCGCTCGACCCTCTCACCTGTAAAGTACTCTCCGAACTCGGCCTCCAACTTTTGACACTTCTCGAATGACTTCTTGGCCTGCTCCTCAGTTAATCGCTTGTTCCACTCCCTGGAACGCAGGCAGCACAAACGCACTCACTACTCCCGCAATAAGACACAACTGAGGCAGCGGCGTTGCGTGCAAATGTCGTCAAATAGTGAACAAATCAACCGGAAACATATTCCTGCACAGAAACAATAGATGATCCAGTATCGTCAGCAACGCAATTTCATCGCCAGTAAACATCTCCGGGCCCACACTCCCGCTAACAGCCCGCCCTCCGCCGCTCATCTGTCCACCAACGAGCCCGCATGCGGCCGCCGGTCAGACCGTCGTCGGGCGCGCGTTCGCGATGGCCACCGCGCGTGCCACTCACAGCGCCTGCTCGACCGACCGAGGCCGGATGAAGATGGCGATCGGGTACAGCTGCGCCACGTGCAACCGCTTGATGGCGTTGCCGCTCACGTCCAGAATACAGTGCTTCCTTTGCTGGAAACGGAGCCGGCCACGGTCACCGTCGGGGACGGTGACCCAAACCTCGGGCGCCATGGCGACCTTCAGCAGCTGATCGTGACGTCATCGGATGTGACTGCGAGTGCGCTCCCGGCGCGGCCAACGGCCTGCTCCAAATCGCCTACCGCGGGCTGCTGCGGTGCCGAAATGAAGAGAAACGGCTGATGGGCGCAGGCCAGTGGCCAACCATCTCTAGTGCGGATTGCCTTTTAGCCGTCACGCCGCAACATCCCGGCAGTGCGGCAGCTCGCGGTAGGCGGTTCAGATCACGTCGGGCGAAAACGGACGGCGACGAGTGCAGCAGCGATGAGGTGCACACCGGAACGGCTCCGGCTCAGCAGCGTGAGGCGAACACGTTGCCATCATGTAATACCTGGGCAAAAAGGTACGCCACCACGCATCCACAACTCCAACATCCCAATGACCCCTGACAGTTGCCTGCCCCCCGCCCCCAACTGACACCCCCCCCAGACACGCTAATTCGGGGCCAGCACTCACGAGGCTCATCCCGCTCGCCCCGCACATCACAGCAGACACGACCAGCCCTGCCTTCGTCTGCTGCGGCAAGCCTTACCTCCTCGGCCACCTCTCGCACGCTGGCCAAACTGGTGCCGTACAGGTTGTCGTTGTACTGGCCGGCCTCGATGAACAGGTGGTTCTGGATGTCCCGCTCCATCTGTTCGCGCGACTCCACGAAGTGGTAGTCTCGGTTGTCCATCTCATTGTCCCGGCACGAGCGCGTCGTGTCTGTGGAGACGCAGGGCCGCTCAGGGCGCGCGGTCGACACGCGCCCGCCGCGCACTGTGACGACAGGGGGCGGCGCAAGGGACGGCAGCCTGCCGTCTGCGGCCCGGAGGCGTCGCCCACGCGAGCGCCAGGCGCCGCAACTGACGCGGCCGACGTCGGCCGTTCCGCCGCCGACTTCACATGTCGTCCGTGTCAAAACAGGCTCCGCCCGAAGCCCCGCGATTAACCGCCTGCGGCCGCTCCATAAATTGAGAACCCGACCACGCGCGCCCGGGGCGAGCGGCGGCGGATTTAGACCATGGCTGGGCCGGGTAGTCGAGGAGGCTGCAGCCGACGTCAGGCGCCAGACATCACCGGCAGCCGGCAGCCGGCGGCGGCGGCGGCAGTCTGTCGGCCCCACGCTCACCAGCTGCACCCGTAGGCGGGACGCTCATGACCGATGGGGAGGGGAGGGGGAGGGGGAGGAGCATTCGAGGTCATTAGCGGGACTGATGGAGGAGCCGGCACCAAGGTCACACCCTCGTAACCCAGCCACCACGCCGCTGTCAGCAGTAGTCTGGCTCTGGCTCACGGTGCAGTCGATCCGCGAGTCGCCGCGCTCGGACGTAACTGGGCCATTTAGGGCGATCGACCGCGCCGTAATGGCAAGCGCGTAGCCCATGTTAGCCCATGTCAGCATGAGAGATATCACGCTCTGAACATCTATTAAGAGTCAAGATACTCTTCTCAGATGCCCAGCGAGCACGTAAATAACCTCACGATCTGTCCAGCGCCCGGTGCTGTTCCATACATTCAGGCCCGGTTCAGTCCGGTCCGGTCCGGTCCGGTCCGGTTCGGTCCGGTTCAGTTCGGTTCGGTTTGGTTCGGTTTGTTTTGGTTCGGTTTGGTTCGGTTCGGTTCGGTTCGGTTCGGTTCGGTTCGGTTCGGTTCGGTTCGGTTCGGTCGGATCCGGCCCGATCCGACCCGATCTGATCCGGATCCTCCCACTCCCCTCCGGTTGCCCCCAAAACACGCCGGACCCAGGTCTAGTCCCTCGCTCTCACTCCTGGACCTCCCAGTTCTCCAGCAGACAACGGACCCCGGCCCGGCACCTCACTCACGCGGGACGCAGCTACCGAAGTCGTCTGGGTACTGCGAGATGAGGTCGTCGTTGATGCGGTCCTTGAGCGGGCCCAGGATGATGACCGGCCGGCAGTAGCTGACCTCCACGTGCTGGACGGGCTCGTACGAGAGCACCGCCTCCTCCGGCAGGCTGCGGTCGTCGCCCTCAGACGCGTTCGTCACCGAATCTGTCAGACAGGTCAGCTCCGGTCACACAAAATGCCGGCACGTGGCACACGGTCACGGGGGTCACCAATCAGCAAATGGAGCCAACTGATCGGCACCTTTGTTGAAGAGTGAAGTGATTTGCAGTGTAATTTCGGGCCTGGGCCAGCAATTTGGAACAGAGGACATGGCGGACACGCCCGACAATGCAACATCTCGGTACACACACCGACAAGAGACATTACTACAACACCGGCCTCACACGGGGAATAACAAGCTCCGCGTCACAGCCAAACAGTGAGCGCCTCCCGGAACAGCCCAGCCTCGTCGCCGTAAGCGCTGAGAACCCGCCCGGACGTCAGCACAGTCAGCAAACACGCCCGGCGCCACAACAGCCAGCGGCGGGCCCGCCCTGCCGCACCCCGTCCCTGTTTACCCCGAGACGCAGCCGACGCCAGGTCACGGCAGAGCGCGCCACGCTCCCGCGCTTTTACAGCCGGCGCCCGGCGCCCCGGGTCGATGCGGTTCGCGGCAGACAGACGGGGCTGAGTGCGTGAATGCGTGGCGCGGGGCCGCCCCTTTGGGCGGGCGCCCGCCACTGGTCCGGACGGGGCGCTCGCTCGCGCGCCGGCTGGCCGCAGCCCCGGCAAAGCTCGGCCATAAGCGGCTCGGCAATAAGCGGCAGCAGCTCAGATGGTGCAATCGCCGGCGTCAATTAACGGCAACAGCTCAGTTGGTGCAATCGCCGGCGTCAATAAGCGGCAGCAAATCAGATGGTGCAATCACCGGCGTCAGTAGGCGGCAGCAGCTCAGATGGTGCCATCACCTGCGTCAATAAGCGCCAGCAGCTCAGATGGTGCAATCACCGGCGTCAATAGGCGGCACCAGCTCAGATGGTGCGATCACCGGCGTCAATAAGCGCCAGCAGCTCAGATGGTGCGATCACCGGCGTCAATAGGGCGGCGCAGCATAGATCACGGGCGCCTGTGGCGATGCGGCTGCGGTAATGAAGCCTATACCGTCCCGGGCAGGTTCGGGCCGAAGCAGGTCTGCAGACGCACAGCCATGGTGGCTGGCTTTGATGGATGTTTCACGGCAATGTAGAATAAGTGAAACATGTGACTGCCGCCAGCAAACTACAGTGCAGGATCGGGAGCCTAACGGTGATCGTATGTGTAATGCATGCATTTGTGTGCATGTATATGTAATGTGATGTAAAAACATTTTAGAAAAAGTGTTTAACGCCTTCAGCTCCCATGTAAGGGCCAAGGTTCGAACTCCGGTCGCTCCATGGCCCCTGAGCGCTGATACGGTTTCTGCACTCGCTGGGGCTCCCTCTGTCAAGGAGCGCGCGCGTTCCTTGAAAAAGCTCAGTCCGCCACCCGTCTGCCATCATTTTAAAGCGTACATTCGCCGGAATTAACGCGTTCTCCAGCCACGTCACCTCGTTTGATCTCGCCGATCAGTGCAAGGACCGATGACGTCACACGACCCTTCGGCCAACGCCAACACACCTGACTCCACGGCGACGAGCCGCCAGTGCCCCGGAACACTCTTCCAACAGCAGCACGAATCCCAGCTCTGACCTGGCGTCCGCGCACGGCCAGTGAGATAAGCTCTGACCTAGCGTCCGCGCACGGCCGATGAGACCAGCTGACCTAACGTCTGCGCACGGCCAGTGAGATCAGCTCTGACCTAGCGTCCGCGCACGGCCGATGAGACCAGCTGACCTAACGTCTGCGCACGGCCAGTGAGATAAGCTCTGACCTGACGCCCGCGCACCGCCGCAAATAGCCGAGCAGACAGCCGGCATCCACTCCGGAAGCGTCGGTGAAGTTCAGCTCGCGCCCCCCCCCCCTTCCCCATTAAATCACGCCCTGCTGACAACGGCACACAGCCTGGGATTGCGGCGGCGATTGTCTTTCCTGGAAATGGCCGGTGGCGCCGCAAGGTGAGTGAGGTCGCGCTCCCAGCACTGAGTCATCTCATCTCGTCGCGTCTCGCCCAGGTACGTATCCCAGCTGCACTGGCGCAACGCAAACTGCCCCATGTTTTCGTGACATTTTGCGGACATTTTATATTTCATACGCCATATTTTCCGGCCGGATCGCGACCGGGTGTTCCGACCCCCGGAGCTCAGCAGAACCCCGACGGACGGGTGAAACACCGAGCCGGATGGGTAAAACAGCTGCCACGCCACTGGCGGCGCCCCGCCGGCGCCGCGTGGCACCTGACACCGCATATTCGACACCTGACAGCGTCGCTCCAGATTAGGAATGGTACCGGCCAATCTCATCAGGAGCGTGACAAACCCCATAGCCTATTGCCCGAGCCCGGCCAGACCGAGTACATCCCGATGAATACTGCGCTGGCTTTCCTCGAAAACATCCCAGAGGCTGCCTTCTGCCACACGGGCGGATGTCCCAACGTCGAAATTTAGCACCATAGCGCTCGTTTCCATTCGCCGTCAACGAGAACGGGCCCGAAAACCATTTCCCGTTGCATTAACACGAATGAGCGCACAGGCCTCTGGACATGCAGGGCATTGAGGCACGTCGACACAAGAGAAACGTACCGGATGGGACCGGCTACGGGGCAGAAACGTGCCAATCGGGGGTACGGTACACTGCGAGCACACGCGACAATGCTGGGTACGGAGCAGCACACGTCCACAATGCCGTGCAGCGACCGGTGTGGCCAGGCGAGGTTTGGTGCCGAGTCCGGCTGACCACGAGAGAGGGAGCGCGACGCCGGGACGGCACCGGGACAGCGGCGCGGCCAGGACGGCGGTACGGTACCGGAGCAGGAGGAGCGGAAGCCGGAGGTGGAGCGGGTGCGGCGGCGCGCCAACAGGCGGCGCGGCAGGTCCGGCAGCAGCCGCAGCAGCGAGCCGACCGAGCCGGAGCGGCGCAGGCCGCCCAGGCTGGGCAGCAGCGGCGCCGGCGAGGGCGCGCGCAGGCGGCGCCGGCTGGCCCGGCTCGGCTCCGAGCCCGGTCCGGCCAGCTGGGGCGCCGCCGGGGAAGCGCCGGTAGGCTGGGGAGGCGAGGAAGAGGCGCCGGCCGCTGCCCAGAGGCCGAGCGCGCGGTCAGTGGAGCGGCTGTCAGGGGAGCGTCAGGACAGGACGGACGCCGGTTTAGACGGAGGGGCGGATGGCCAGAGCACACACACACACTCACGCACACACACGCACACACGCATACTTTCAACATGCGGTGACATGCCAGGCGCGGATCGGTTAGTAGCGATTACAGCACCGGACGGCGAGGTCATGCATGTGACACAGACGCCGGCCACCAGGCAACCAGTGCTGAGACGGGCCGCGGCGAGTGCACGGTCTTGGGCCGAGTCGCAGGTCAGCGCGGCTCGGCGGCCAATGCGGCCACCGGCACAGCGGCGGCACCAGGGGACACGTGTGCGCACACACCCACGGCCCGGCTTTAACTATTTTTTGGTTTGTTTGAGCTACACAAACGGCACGGCGTTTTCAGTCGGCTCCATCCGCGCGGCGCTCCCGTCAAAAGGTGCCAGCCACACCCACTGGAGCTGTACAGCTAGGGTTAATTGGTACAGATTTATCCCGGGAGCGACCACCTGCCACACTGCTAAACAAACTTTTCTACAGATCGCAGCCCTTCCTCCCATTTCCCGGATCTCAAAAGGCGGCTTCTAGCCCCGCGCCGCCAGTCGCGAAAGCTCACAACTCAGTCAGCCTTCGACAGCCCGTGTCCCCGGAGCCAGCATCAGGGGTGTTTCTGCGAGCATTTATTAATACGCTTCATTGGAAGCGAACGCCCATCAGCTCGAGCCCGTATAACGAGTTGACGTCAAATGACGGGATGGACCGATCGGGGCAATAGCCTACTGGGCTTATATTGCAAGCCTTCGTAGCTTTTAATGCCAATCCTCATCAGCTGTTCGACCCGAATGGTCCATGACGAACACAAGAACGGTTCGGCTGCTCAAGCGCTGTGCAGATGTTATTTGTAGCGCCCGGGGAGCGTCGAATGTGGGCATCTATGTCGCACGTTACCGCTAATAAGCCGCTCCGAGCCGAGCAGCTCGCCTGGATCACCACTGTTTTTACGCAGCGCTGCCCGGAGCACGCTCCACAAACACAACAGCTCGGCGAGCAAAAGCGTGAGGTGCGTTCCAGGGTTTTGGTTCCTAGTAAACAGACTGGAAAACGAACTGCCTCACTGGCCACATGCCGTGAGTGGAAGGAGCTCACAGGACGGAAGGGATGGGCGCAGCGTTGCAACGCACGCGCGCGCATGCAGAAGTTTGTACCGATTCGTGGTTTTGGAGCCGGATGCTGATTCCGCAGTAGGAATCATGCCATACACATGCCGATATGCTTAAGCGGGTCTACACCGTCACACACATGCGCTGCAAGTTGCTGTTTTACCACATGCAAGGCAACTACACCGCAGATGACATCCGATCGCCGGCAGCAGCCACGTCGCTCCGACACCCCGAATCGAGCCCGGCCGCCAAGCTTCGGCGGCGGAGACTCCCCTGTTCCCCGCCGCAGCGCCCCCCCCCCCCCCCCCCCAGCGGCGACCACGGGCCCGCCACTCACGCTCATTGTCCGAGCTGTCGTCCGACTTCACGTCCTCTTTGGACTTCATGAACGGGAACTTGCGGGAGAACGAGAAGTTCTTCTTTTTCCGGTCCAGGGTCGACTGAAATAAGAGCGCGAAGTTTAACAATCTGTCCGACATCACGAGCCTCGATCACGAGTAGTGCGAGCGGCACGAGCGCCTACGCGGGGCGAGGCAGCTCTGCATGCAGCGGGCACCAGCACGGCACCCGACAGGCAGTGACGGCGCCAACAGAGGAGGGACAGCCCGACCGGTCCCGCCAGCCGCACCACACCGCCACACCCCACCACGGCGCGGTGCCCCACCGGCCAGCAGCGTGCGTCCGGCGGCGCCGCTGCACGGGCCCGACGTGACGCCCCCACGCCGGTTCTTCTGACGGCGTTCTCGGCGGCTGAGAGCGTGACCCGCGTGGCGCCACTTCAGTCGTCTCGGAGTGGTCGGGCCCCGAGCTCGCCGCGTCGTCAGCGGTATGTCAGCCCGCCGCCCACCGACGGGCCGCCGCGCCGTCAGCGGCGTGTCAGCCGCCGCCCACCGACAGGCCGAGAGCCCAGCCCCGACCGAAACGCCGTCTCAAGTGATCACGACCGAATGCCACCTTCACGAGCCGCCGCGGTCGGGTCGCCTCGGATGCTCGTCCCCAGTCGGCGGCGACTGAGCCCTCCTCCTTCCATGGCGGCGGCCGGGCGTGCACCTCCGCTCGCGAATCAAATAGCGGCGGCGGCGGCGGCGGCGGCGGCGGCGGCGGCGCAGGCGTTATTTCTGTCCGACCCCGGCACGCACAGGGCCGGTCGGAGCCCGACGCGCGGCGCCAGGTGAGGCCGGAGCGCTGGAGCCTGCCGCCGCCGCCGCCGACGGCTCATCGCTCCCACTGACGGCCGACAGACGAGAGCGGGCCCGGCTGCCGCCGACCCGGCAGGCGTCTCCTTCGCCTCGCGCCAGGCATCGGCTGACGCGAGTCCGCAGACGCGGTGATAAAGGGCCCGGCTCGTAACGGGACGGAAGACGGCAGGCCGGCATTGTGTTCCTTATACAAATAAACAGCGCCGACGGAGCCGCACAACACGCGGCCCCGGTGTCTGGGACGGGAGCCAGACGCTGGAACCGACGACGCCTCCGCCGGGGCCGACTTTAAGCAGCCTTCGCCTCGCGGACGCGCGGACCTAACACCGCAGAGCTATGCCCACCACCTCAATGGAACAATCCGCGGCGATGTTTTCACTGCGCACGCGCGCAGCGCAGCAGCTGCTCTCCATGACAAGTGGCCGGTCGACACTCGTCCCCAGATGCCGAGACTTTCTCTCCCGGAGGCGCCGCGCGCCGGCGCGGGGCTCGCGCCGCGCCGCGCCGCGCAGCCCGGCTTCCGTTTCCGTCCGCCGACCTACACGTGCTGCCCTCGCGGACTGGGATCCCCACGGCCACGATAGCAGCGTCCAGCCGCGCGTCGACACTCGAATCACCGCCACAGGGAATTCCACACCAGCTGCCACGGAGCCGGCGCTGCCGGCGGTCCGGTCCGAGGAACAGACTACGGGCTCACATCGTGCCCGGGGGCCGACGCAGCCAGCCGGACATGCCAAGCACTACCAGACTGAACACGGTCTGCCGAAAAAGATACAGCGCGCTCGCAGTTCTGATATCCGCAGCAGCGCGTCTTCATCCCGCTTTGATCTTTGCCGAGCCAAGTGGGCGCTTGGGTCCGACCGCCCACCCACGCATTCTGAAGTACCGAGCCGCCTCTCTTCGCCCTCACTTCAGCGCCTTTCAACCCCGTTCCACTGGAAATTAAACCAGGGGCACATTCACGTCCCCACCAAGCGCACCAGGATAAAGCTCCAAATTACGATCACGGTAATGCCCCACTCCTCGAACCACAGCCTACCACACCACAGCTGGCACACAGCCTTCATGCGCATCACGTGGTGCACTCAGTCCGATTGAACGCAAAGTGGATCACCCAGTCCGGTTAAGACCTCGACAGCAGCGCGCCGCAGGGCCCACACCTGACCGGCGCCCGGGCGGCCCGGGCCGGCCCGCCGGGCGTCTCACCATGTCGGCGGCGCGGCCGTGGAAGGCGACGGTACGGCCGCGCGCGCGCATCTTGCGCTCCCAGCGGCCGCGCGACGGAATGATGCCGATGGCCAGCGCCTGGCCCTGCGGCGTCAGTCGCTTGGCCTGCCACCACTGGTCGTCGCTGGCGTTCGTCACGTGCAGAATGTCGCCGAAGGCGAACGGCAGGCCGCGCGACGGCAGGCCGTCGTCCAGCCGCGGGTCGTAGTCGAACAGCGCCCTGTCGGCAGGCGCGGCGGCCGGTCAGCCGGCGCCCGGGGGCCGGTGCGCCGGGGCGGCGGCTCCAGAGACGTGCGAGGAGAGGTTACCACACGTGAACACAGGCGGGGCAGCTGGCAGGCGTTCGCCAGGCGCAATGAGTCGTCGCCAAGGCTTCTCGCAAAATATACGGCTTAGCAAAAGCCTGGCCCGAAGCCTTAAATGTCCGTCTCGGAGCCTAGATCACGTCAAACAACACCGTCACAAAGCATTACACGTCCCCGGGTGGCAGCGGCACCAACGACAACCTAATCGCATCGGCTCATGTCAACACCGCTGCCGTAATGGGAGTGCCAGCCATGTCACGCCCGCAGCGCACGAGACCCGCCCGTCGGCCCCGCCCCCGGGCCCGCGCACGGCACCACTCCCGACAGCGCGACCCACTACCCACGCGTGTCAGCCCCCCTCCCCCCCGGTAGCAGTGCGCGTGAAGCACGCCTCGCCGCCCGTCTAGCCCCGGCTCGACGGTCCCGTCACACGGCCCGGGCCGCGTCCGATCGCCGGCGCCCGGCGCTAGCCACGCCGGCCAAGCGGCGCTTAGGCCGGCCGCGTGGAGCATGTCAGTCCTCAGCACGCCGCCGACGGCACGCTATTTACACAGGCCGGCTGCTCGATCGACGAGCGCCGTCGAAAGGTCACGCGGTGCGGCGGCAGGGGTGTGTGGGGAGGGGGGAGCTCCAGGAACGCATCGGCTGCAGGCGGAGAGCGGCAAATCGCGCCTTCCGAGCCGGCCGCCGCGGCGCTGGCCCGCGTCAGTCGGAACGGCCGGCCCGCGCCGAGCGCCGGGCGCAGTGACGTCATACCGGCGCCCACTCGGACGGTGCTGACCGGCGGCCGACCGGGCCCGCCGGAGCCAACTACGCCCAAGTGTTTGCATTGGCCTGGCATACAGCCGGCTTTCTGCGTCGAGTTTGAACGAGGCACGACGAGTCGGACAAGGATCACTGAGCAGTGCATGGGTCGCCGCATGACTGGACGGGGATCCTCCAGGACGTACCTGGCGTCTTGTCAGCGTGCGTGTACGGCGCGGCGTGCTCGCAGCACCTACCTGACGTAGAGGGAGCGCTTCTGTGTGGTGCGCAGCGTGCCGGACATCATCTGCTGCTTCAGCTCGTGAATCTTGGCCTCGAACCGGTTGTACTCCTCGGGTCGGTACTGCACCAGCAGGGTCACCGTCTGGCCGGCTCCCTGCGGCAGGCGCGGCGCTGACGTCACAGACCCGGCCGCGAGCGGGCCGCTCTCAGTCGCCGCCGGGTACGGCCGGCCGTCACAGAGGGCGCCGACGTCAAAGCCGCCCCCGGCGCACCACGCGCCCACCGACCGGAAGCGCTGGGGTTCCTTATCTCAGCGCGGCCACTCGCATTGTGACCCGGCCGCGTCACCGGCGCCGCAGAGCGCTCGCTCGTCACGCGGCACCCACAGGCGCACGCTGCAGCACCGCCGAGTCGCCCGGGACAGCCAGCCGCTGGAGGAGATGTCCGGGCGCCGACCCGGCCGATACTGGGCCGGCGGTGCGCCCCGCGGCGCCGCCGGCCGGCCGGCCGGGCGCGCCGTATAAACAGGCCGGCGGCGGCGGCCGGCCGATAAATAAACCTGCAGAGTGGCAGGCCGACACGGAACACGGGCCCACGTGAGCGGAGGCCGACACGGAACACGGGCCCACGTGAGCGGAGGCCGGCAGCGGCCGCCGCGCTCGCCCCGCCGGGTCCTCGGGGGCCGGGCCAGGCTGCGGGGGCGACCCCACAGGCCAGGCGGAGACGTCCGGCCCCAAACCCGCCGGCAGCGACAGACAGGTATTCGACCAGCGTCCAGCGTCCAGCGGCGGGCGGCCCGACAGCTCTGCGGACGGATCCCCACACAGATGTGCCACGTCGGAGACCAGGGCAACGTCGCCACTCCCGCTAACGCGCGAGACGAGACGCCAGGCAGATGTACACACGGCACACGATCTACTCACGGCACGCCCGACAGACGGACAAACACAGAGAGCGCAATCCACTCGGAGCCGCGGAGGTAAGCCGACACAGACCTGGAGACACCCCGCATGCCAACCGTAACCAGAGGCTGACGTGGGGGGGCGCAGCGCTCCGAGCATCGCCGGCCGGCCGGTCCGGCCGCACAGCAGACAGTGTGGCGCCCGCCCGCCCAGACGGCCACCAGTGCGGACCCAGCGGCGGCCGTCTGGGGGCGGGGGGGGGGGGGGGGGGGGCGGCGACGCCGTGCACGCCATCCCGCTGCCAGGCGCGGCGCGACGACAGCGGCAGCGCCGGTAAGACCGCGGCGCGCGAGCGCTGTCCCGGACGCCCGCGCCGCGGTGCAGCCCGCGCGCCCCGATCAATGTCGAGAACGTGCCGCCGCCGGCACCAGGCCGGATGGGCCTCAGACACGCCAGCACCTCCTGTCCGCACTCCGGACACTCCGGGCGAACCCGGGCACTCAGGCGGCCGCAGACGTCACGGAAGGCATGTCAGCACCTCCTATCCACACTCCGGACACTCCGGGCGAGCCCGGGCACTCAGGTGGCCGCAGACGCCACGGAAGGCATGTCAGCACCTCCTGTCCACACTCCGGACACTCCTCGGCTGACGGGCTACCACTGCGGGGGACAGCTGACCCGGGCGGGCAGGTGCAGCAGACGTGGACACGAGGCACAGACCGACCGCGCAGAAGACCGGCCAGCCTGAGCACGCGACCGTGACCGCCGCAGAATCACGGTGCCCTGAGCTTCGGCAGGTTGTGCGACGGTATAAGGATACATTCGAGAGAGCGGTGAAAGAATCAGGGACAGCACACAACCCCCAAGCCAGACCGTAATCGCCCACGCACCTGACGCCACGCACGGCATCTTCGCCGAAGGCAAACGCCAAAACCTGACCATCGCGCCGGCGCACTTTGTCGGGACTCACTGTCCATGGTGGGCGTCACGTACGCTCGGCCGCCAATTGCGGGACCGCCCACCGAACGCTCCTCAGAGACCCGGAACAAATCTGGCCCCTGCGGCACAATAGACGCGTACGGAAGCGGGTCCCCGGGGGGCCGCTCGCCGCCGCCGCCGCCGCCGCCGCACGACGGGGCCCTGACCGGGGGCGAGGTGACGGGCCGCGCGGCCCACAGAGGCAATCCGCAGCGTCGACGACATCCGGGCCGACACCATTCACCACCGGCCGCGTCCCCCGGCGCCGGCGCGTCAATCCCAGGCCGCCGCTTTGGCGGGCCTCTCACCGGTAAGCGGCCGTCTCAACGTCGCGCCCCAACCGCCTCCGAGCCTCAACAGCCGCGATCGATTTCGCGGGACGCTGCTCAGCTACGCAGCAGTACGCAGTCGTCAGTCTGATGAAGCCGTCACCGTCAGACTCCCCTCCATCCACTGAGCGGCCATATCTGTATGCTAAGCGAGCCGCCATGATGCTCTCAGCCGCCTCTCATTGACGTTAACGCTTAGATATCTGTCATATCCTCCACCTCAATGTGAACCACCAGTAATTCGGCCCTCCCCCCGTCGCGACACCGGCTGGCACCGAATCACCGACACGTCCCACCCTTCCTTTGTCGTAGGTCCACAAACCAGGCGGCCGCTGTGTTGGCCGGGCGGGCCTCCCCATCAGCTGCCGGGGTGTCCAGCGGCCGTATCAGCGCGCCACACGCGGCATTACACCGCATCGGCCGGCGCGCTGGTGCCCAGCTGTTGCGCGGCCAATCAGCCGTCAGCGGCCAGCGACTGGCCGCGGCGTTACATCAGCCGACCCAGCCAGCTGTCGCCGGACCCGCCTCCGCCGTCCCGGCCGTCACTGGCCGGCCCGGCGCCCGGCCGCCACCACCGGCTGCAGCCGCCGGCGCTCCTCGGCCGGTGAAGCGTTCGTCAGACGTGGGCGAATCCGTCGGCGCGGTGCCCCGGCGCCGCCGGCCGACCCGTGCCGGTCCGAACAGTGCCGACCGCGACCATCCTTCAGTGTCGGCGGCCCTGCCGGCTCGACCGTCCTCACATGGCGACAGCCGACGCGGCCGCCGCCGCACAAGGCGCGGCAGACACCGGAGCCCCGGCCCGGCCGACGCGTTCCCCGGCGTCCCCCGCGAGCAAAGGGGCCGCCCGCAAGCAGAGGGGTCGCCCGCGAGCGGAGAAGGGTCGCCCGCCAGCACAGAGCGGTAACCCGCGAGCGGAGAGGGGTCGCCCGCGAGCGGAGAGGGGTCGCCCTCCAGCAGAGGGGTCGCCCGCGAGCGGAGAGGGGTTGCCCGCGGGCAGAAGGGTTGCCCGCCAGCAAAGGGGTCGCCCTCCAGCAGGGAGGGGTCGCCCGCCAGCAGAGGGGTCGCCCGCGGAGGTCCGGCGAGCCGCAGTCCCACAGGGCAGAGGGGGTCGTGGCGGTGGCGACGGCCGTTTCCGTCGTCTGGCGAGGCGGCGCTCGAGCTACGACCGGGCCGGAGCACCGTCGAGCGACGCCTGCTCCGCCCAGGACCGGCGCGGCGGCGCTCGAGCCACGACCGGCCGGAGCACCACTGAGCGATGCCTGCTCCGCCCGGACGGAGTGTCATTAGGGCCGGGTGAGGACGGCGTCCGGCTGAAATACTGTCGCCGCCGGCCAGCCGAGCCCATCGAGCGCCGCTCGGTCCGATCCAGATCACGCCCAGGCGGCGGGAAGTGGGCCGCTCTGCAGCGCATAAGTGGGATGACGATTGATGACTACGGGCCGATCAAAAATAACGATGACTTATTTGGGCCGGGAAAGAAACATATCTCACCCAGATCTAGAGCCGTGGCGATGCGTACCAAGCAGCGTCCGACGCCTCAATCACGATTCCATGCGGGTCCAGGCCCCATATTACAGCACTCGCGATAGGAAACAACCTGCACAACCCACACAAACTTCGTCAAGCCCCACCCACCGCCCGCTCTTCGAAGCCGCGCATCCCATCAAGCGCCCCGGCCGCGTCCGCCGCGCGTGCGACCTCTGCTGACCTTGAGGGCGGCGGCCGCCTGCTCGTGCGTGGCCTTGGAGAGGTCGACGCCGTTGACGGAGAGGATCTGGTCGCCGCGGTGCAGCTCGCCGCTCCGGTCCGCCTGGCCGCCGGCCAGGATGAACGACACGAAGATGCCCTCCGACTCCTCACCGCCCACGATGTTGAAGCCCAGCCCCTGGCCGGACGCCTTGCTGAGCACCACCTGGCGCGGCTCCCTGCCGAAAGGTCAGGTCAGGTCAGGTCAGGCCATATCCAAGGCCCATGCAGCGTTCCGGGTTACCTGATGGCCTACGTGTGGTCGGAAAGGTGGTTGTTAGTTATGGTCATGTAGCATGTCACGCAAGGTCAGACCAGGGCAGGTTGTGCAGAGGCCCTACAGCGCTCTGATAATGTGGAGCGTGCCAGATTCCCACACGATGCGCGGGATAACAACACGGCGAGCGACACGAACAGCAAACGCGCCGACCGCGATACGGTAAGCTCACATCGCCACAGAAAAACACAAACATCAGTTTCCTTCACACCATTCTATTTTTAGGCAGCAATCTGCACTCAGGATCTTATTTGCAATGCCGCCGACAGGGACCCCTTTGAGAACCGTCAGACCCGACCATCAATCAGCATCAAATTCCAACATAAACATGACGTCATGACCTCCTCAAGGTCGAGGAGTCTAAAGGACTGCTGCTGACCGGAATCACTGCCACCGTGTTGCAGCCAGATTCGCGGGGGGGGGGAGGGGGGATTTTGAGGAGTCGGACGGAGGAGATAGAGGAGTGGCTGGTCGTCGCGGGGGCGCGGAGCCATGGCCGGGGGTAAGGGGAGGGATTTTGAGGAGTGGCTGGTCGTCGCGGGGGGGGGGGGGGCGGAACCATGACCGGGGGAAGGGGAGGGATTTTGAGGAGTAGCTGGTCGTCGCGGGGGCGCGGAGCCATGGCCGGGGGTAAGGGGAGGGATTTTGAGGAGTAGCTGGTCGTCGCGGGGGCGCGGAGCCATGACCGGGGGAGAGGGGGGGGGGGGATTTTGAGGAGTAGCTGGTCGTCGCGTGGGCGCGGAGCCATGACCGGGGGGAAGGGGAGGGATTTTGAGGAGTAGCTGGTCGTCGCGGGGGCGCGGAGCCATGGCCGGGGGTAAGGGGAGGGATTTTGAGGAGTAGCTGGTCGTCGCGGGGGCGCGGAGCCATGACCGGGGGGAAGGGGAGGGATTTTGAGGAGTAGCTGGTCGTCGCGGGGGCGCGGAGCCATGACCGGGGGGAAGGGGAGGGATTTTGAGGAGGAGCTGGTCGTCGCGGGGGCGCGGAGCCATGACCGGGGGGGGGGGGGGGGAGGGCATTTTGAGGAGCCGGACGGAGGAGATAGGGGAGTGGCTGGTCGTCGCAGGGGCGCGGAGCCATGACAGAACTCTTGCGCATCAAACAGTCGCCGTTCACGTCAGGGGAAGTAGGACAGATAATTCGCGGCACGTGAAAGGCACTCGTGCTGGCTGCAGTCAGGTGATCAGTGTAGCTTCTGTGCACATGTACTGAAATTCGACCGCCGTTGTGATGAACTGTCCCATCCAATTCCTAGCCCGTCGCACCAATCACCAATGAATTGGCTCCCGTGGTTCAAAGCGGGACTAACGAAGAACGCGAGACATCAGAAGCCCCGCTGCGGTCTGGTGGTTGGTTTCCATTCCATCGGCCACGCTTCGCCAGACACATTACCGCAGTTTGTTTCCCACCGGCGCTATTAGGCGCCCACTGCTCAATCCCAATTTGCGAGAGAGGCTGTCTGAACGCCAGGAAAACATAGTTCCTGTCTGCCTCCGCTGCACCAGTCGGCTACGAAACAGCTCCGACTCGAAAAACAATTCGACACCATCCTAGAGCGTTTGTAACAGGCAGCGCACACCCAGGCTCCCGACAAAACACAAAGGCATCACAAAATCGGGCGACATTTCTACACCGTGCTTACCTCTACAAAAGCCAATCTCTGCCGCGCCACTAGCCTCAGCTTTCTACGGCTCAGCCCCTCGCGTGTCCCCGCTCGCGGCATCGACAAAGCCAGCTGGGCCCAATACCCGCACGCATCCCCGCCTTCCGGCGGCGCCCTCCCTTCACACCATCGCCTTGCACCGTACAGCAGCTCCCCAACAGCGCAGCGGCGGCCCTCGTCCCGGGACGCTCACCCGTCCGCCCTCGTCCCGGGACGCTCACACGTCCGCCCTCGTCCCGGGACGCTCACCCGTCTGCCCTCGTCCCGGGACGCTCACCCGTCTGCCCTCGTCCCGGGACGCTCAGCCGTCTGCCCTCGTCCCGGGACGCTCACCCGTCCGCCCCCGTCCCGGGACGCTCAGCCGTCTGCCCTCGTCCCGGGACGCTCACCCGTCCGCCCTCGTCCCGGGACGCTCACCCGTCTGCCCTCGTCTCGGGACGCTCACACGTCCGCCCTCGTCCCGGGACGCTCACCCGTCTGCCCTCGTCCCAGGGCGCTCAGCCGTCTGCCCTCGTCCCGGCTCGGTGACACGACGAACCAATATCAGCACCGGATCGGCGCCCTGTCCCAGCGACGCCTGCACGGCGTCTCCAGGGGCCCGGCCGACGCGAGACGACCGGGCCGGAGCCGCCGCCGCCGCCGCTCCAGGAGCGACCCCGACCAATTGGCGCGCTTGCCGCAAATGTCAGCGGCGCGCGCCACGGGCACACGCCACCAGGGCGCGTGCACCGAACGCCGCTGGGGGACGGCAGGCGACGACGGCAGTAGCTCAGGAGCCAGACAGGCTAGGACCGGAGAGCGAACGACGCGGGGCGCCGCTGAGGGCAGACGCGGACGGCGGAGAGCACTGGTTGAGGACGGAGCGCGGACGGCACCAGCGCTGGCGGAGAGCGGACGACGAAGGGCGCCGGCTCAGGCTGCAGAGCGGACGACGCCGAGCGTTGGAGGACGGGCGGCTGATGGCGCGCACGCACGTCACGCACACGGCCAGAGCCGACGACTCTCGACTGGATGGAGACGGCTCGAGCCGACTAGACTTCTGCCGTCCCGAGTACGGATGCATCGAGCCACGTTTGACGAAAAACCTCCCGATTGAAGAGACAAACTGGTTGAGGAGATTGCTGACTGGCTTCATCACTGAGCGCAAACAGACACGTGCCCGCCCGACCGAAGCCCCGGGCCGCCGCAGTAAATCCCGCCGCCCTCCGGGCGTCTGCTGACCTTGACACAAATCCATCGCCGCCCGCATAATAGAGGCCAGACAACGGAATATTTCGGACACACCGGGCGTTCCCGAAAAACACGCCCCGCGCTCTCGACAGACAGAGCTCGGCCGGCCAGCAGCAACGGGCGGCGGGCCCAATCAATCTCGGCAGGGCGGGGGGCCGAGTGGATCGCTCGCGGGCCATTGAGCCCGGCCTCGTGACGCCGGCTGGCCGCGCCGCCCACTGGAGCTGGGCCAGTCGAGCGCCGCCCGGGCCGGCGACGCGTGAACATCGGCCGGCCACGCCAGGCCCGGAGAATCTCCTGCCGCAAACTGGCTCGCCAGACTGGCCAGGCTGGGCCAGCTGCGAGCGCGAACTGTGCAGGGTTCAGTCTGCGCCGCATACAGCTGCGGCCGCACGCCCCGCCAGACAGACCAGGCTGAGCCAGCTGCGAGCGCAAACCGTGCAGTGTTCAGCCTGCGCCGCATACAACTGCGGCCGCGCGCCCCGCCAGACTGGCCAGGCTGGGCCAGCTGTGAGCGCGAACCGTGCAGGGTTCAGTCTGCGCCGCATACAGCTGCGGCCGCACGCCCCGCTGACATTCCACGGAAAATCGCACGCAAACAGCGCGTCAGTTGCTGAGGTTGACTCAACTTCACTGCCCGGCACGGCAAGACAAGGAACAAAGCGGAGCGACCGGCTTGATTGACCGCAGACGACGACATCCGCGGAGTTCATCACGTCAGAGATAAAGTGTCCATGATTAGTCACCGCCTCGCGCCGCCGAGGACGAATCAGGCGCCCGCGGCGGCCAGACTGCGCCCCCCCCCCCGCCGGACGCCACGTGTCATCTCCCGCTCGACGGCCGGTTCCCAGCCGCCTCACGCCTCACGCCGGCGCCGCTCACGCACGCCCGTCACGCGCGGCCGTCCCGCCGCGCCGGCACCGAACGGCCGGCAGCGGCGGCGGAAGCGCCGCATGCGCCGCGCGCCGCACAGATTAGATAGCGCACGGCGTCGGGCAGAGTGGGACAACCGGCATGCCAGCTGTCCGCCCCTGGAGCGGGGCGCGCGGGCACGGCGAGCCACGCGGTCGGCAGCCGGCCCTCGGTCATGGAATGTAAAGATCACTTCATCGGCAGGCTTCGGACGGCGCTCACGCCGGCGAGTGCCCCTGCAAGCGGCGGCAGGTGGCTTCCGGTCGCGCTCCGACACGCAAGCCCGCCCGCCGCCGGCCTTTCCCTTTGAAACAATGCGACAGCGGCGGGACGAACCGCCCAGCACAGCGCAGCCGGTCAAGCGCCCGGCATTTTTCAGTAACCAACAACGCAGCGACCATGGACGACATGATAAATGGGTCGCATCCAGGACGGGGTGTCACTCCGCACGTGCAATGACCACACGCAAAGGGAGTTGTTGAAAAAGTCAGCAAGCCACAAACGCTAGAATTCAAAATGTGACGGAAATGAGCCATAAACCGCTCCGACAAGCGCAGCGACACTCGACAAACGGGACGGCTGAGCCCGCTGCTGACCAGAGCAGCCGTAGGAATCCGGGCACCAAACTTTTGCACTGCGGAACCTGCACCTGCACATGCTCGGCTCCAAAAAAGGCACTGGCTGCCTGCCCCAGCCAGCGCAGCACGACGGACCTTGAATTGAGGCGTCGCTGCGCACCACTGCGCACCACTCGCTCTCTCATCGGGCCGCAAGCTCGGCCCGAGCCTCGCGCGCTCCGAGCGCGAGCTCACCCCAGCGAGGCGGCAGGCAACACCGACCGTCCCCTGGCGGCGCATAGCGGAAATGCCGATGTCGGCGCGGCACGTGCCGGTGGCGCCGCTTACCTCTCTGACGGGGAGCGCGCCCGGCGGCGGGGGGAGCTGACGCCGCCGGCAGCACGCGGCGCTGGCAACTGAGGCGACCGCCGCCGCGCCGGGCCGGCCGGGCGGCGCACATCGATCGAGCGAGGCCGGCGGCGTCGCCGCCGCCGCTGCCGCCGCCGGCGGAAAACCCAACGGGAGGCGGCGTGGGAGCCG